TGCCTGAAAGCGTGGAAAAGGGTCCTTTACTTTACTTTTGCTAACTGTCATCACTGGCATTTTTTTCATAAAAGGTTTTGCTAGATGGCGTAGGCATTTATGTCTCTCCGCAGATCTCGGGCCTTGGAATTCTCAAACAATTCAGTGCCGTGGGTCTCGTGAATTTGCTGCCGTAGATCTCTAACAGGGCCTATTGTTTGTCTTGGTTCAACACTATCTGGATTTGCTCTTCATCCGTCTCTTAGAATTGTCTTCTTACATGCAACACTATCTGCATTTTGCTCTCTTGCCTACATATTTCTACTCCAAGTATGGTATTTATAAAAGTGTAATGCGAGTGTTGTTGTTGTTGTTTTTTTTTTTTTTTTCAAGAATAAAAGGTGCTGATACTAACCCATAAATTCTAGAAAAGGTGCTGGTACTCACCAGAAAAGAACAGATGCCTAAAAGAAGGTTCAGTTACTGCATACCGTTGAGAACCGCTATAAAAAAAAAAAAATAAAAGCTCTGGTGTAATGTCTTTTAATGTGGCTGAAAATGTGTTTATTTTCTGTCCTCTTGCTTCACCCGTAGGCATTCAACATTTGTTGCACTTAATTGTTTTTGCTTCCATCAATTACGACACAATATGTCCACATATCCAGAGACTTAGTTCAATTTTCTATTAGCTTATTCATTTTAGCAAATCTTGGGGACTGCGTGGTCTCCATGTATGGTGCCCGCATAGAGTGCTAGAGGTTCCGGGTTCAATCCCCGGTAAGGGCTGGGATTTTTTCACATAGACTTAAACTTCTATCAATTCCCCCTGGTCTCTGGGTAGTGAGATCGGACACCCGTGTGCAATGCTGTGCACGTAAAAAATCCCTTGGAAATGGAAAAGAGTAGCCTAACGGTGCTGCCCAGGCTAAATTGGGAGTTAAAAATCTACCCAAAGTATTTTAGGATCCTCGCCGGTGCTACAGAGTCTATGCACTGTTCTGAGCTTCTTCGGACTCAGACTTGAGTTAGAAGAATAAAGGAGAACTTATGGGTTACTACCCGTGTGCCATGATGTTGATTGGTTGTTCATACCTCTTTGCAAATTTGTGCATCGTTCTGTAAGACTGAGTATACGTAACATTTGAGAGTTCTGATAACGAATGCGTTGTTTATCTTTCTAGATGTTTAGAAAAAAAATAAAAAATAAAAACTATGTATACTGTTGCAGATATGTTTTTCGACATCTTTTATCTTAAAAAAAATTGATTTATATTTCCCTGCTGGCATCATCTGTTATTAGATGTTCAGTTAAGGAGAAACTTGTGAATAGTATTTTGTTCAAACATATTGTTCATATTATTTCGGGCTATCGGTTTGAACCTCAGTTTGATTTCTCTCTGTGTCTTCCTTTTCTCAAGATCTGTTTTCAAGTCATTACTATAATCTCCAATGCCTGTCTTCCTATCAAACGACAAGAAACAAATTTGGGCTCATTAAATTTTACGTATAAAGTTGTTCTAGTTAGCATTTCCAGACAGCTATCCTTAGTTCACCTGGTATTCCTAGACATTCGCAACATTTGTCTCATAAACTACAATCTTACCCTCCATCCAAGCTCTTCCTTATCCCGACGTTCACACATAAAGATTCACTGCCGTACAACATAAAAGACTTGATGATTATTGTTCTTAGACATAATTCATGAAAAGTATATTTTATAATATATTCATCTTTCTCCAATGTTCAACTTTCGAACAACGGAATACACACAGTAGTAACCGTGTTTATGAACATAAATGTGTCAAATTACGGAATACAAATGTCTGTGAACAGAAAAGTTCAGCTATCGAGCAACTGAGTACAGAAATCAGGAGTCGTTTTTTTTTTTTTTTTTTTCTTAAACAAAAATATACAATTAAAGAACTGGGAGATAAAGATTTCCGGAATCGTATTTCGCCTATTTAGCACCAACGCTTAGTATGCATTAGGGTACTTAGTTCACTACTTACATGCAAATACCTTCCCCGTGTGGGTTCCGGGGTCCCATTGTGGGGTAAAACTTGAATAGACCCACTGACTCCCCAAAAAAAAATTTCGAAGGAGTCGACTAATTTGGGGACGAGAAGGGGTAAGTAAGATCTGTAAAACGGATGCACATACAAAACACAGATCCTGGAACAAAGCCAAAGTCTAGAAATGGACGAACAAGGCACTTTACAAACTGCACTACGATTACAAAATATACTAGTAGTGAAAACGTTAGGTAAATAAGTAAGCTAAAAAGTTACAGTGCAATTTTTGTGTGGTCATAGTGCACACGGGCGTCCGATCTTACTGCCCAGAGACCGGGGGGGGGGGGGGGGGGGGAATTACTAGAAGTCAAAGTCCACGTGAAAACATCCCAGCCCTTACTGGGGATGGAACCCGGAACCTCTAGCACTCGAGGAGGACACTATGTCCCGAGACCACGCAGCCCCCTGGGTGTGTCCAAACATTCGTCAGCATCTTCTCCTCACCTTTTTATTCTTAGCGATCTATTTAATTATCTCCACTTGCTGAAGATGTATGATTCTGTCACATGATTTAATTTCGTTATTCCATAAGTATTTTAGCTATTCTTCAGATTTTAGCTCCGCACCGCATGATTTGACATAACAGCTAAATATTGTAAGTTTGGTATAAGGTTCAATTTCCGTTGACTGTTATTATTTCGACATTTGAATCCACAGTTGGCGCACGCAGCTTTATAACATCCGAAGACCAGTGTTCGAAGACAGCTGTGAGTGCATGCATGAACAATGTGCACAAAAGAACCAGTGACATCGGATTTTGCGAGTAAGGCAATAATTTTCTCTAAGTATTTTCTGTATCCTGCAGTCCAGTGGTTCTCAACCTTCTTAAAGCCGCGACCCTTTAATACACTTCCTCGTGTTTGGGTGACCCACAACTACAAATTTTTTTATTTTTTTTTCATAACTTCAGTGAATATGTGTTGTTTTTTAAGTTAAGGGGAATTCAAAATTCTTTAAGTTGAGACACATTTAACACGACCAAATTGTTCGGCAGGCCAAACAATTTCTTGAGGCCTCAGAGATGTGGTTTAACAGAAGAATGCTTAAAATACATTGGACAGCCAAAAAAGGGCAACCAAGAGGTTTTGAAAGAGGCCTGAGCCCGAAGACAACTTATCACAGACAACAGAAGGAGACAGTCATCATTTTTCCGCCATGTTATGAGAAGAGGGAAAATGGAACATGTTGTGAGCATTGGGAAGATCTATGGAAGGAAGGATAGAGGAAGACAACGAGAGAAGATTCTTGACAGTCTTGTTGCATGGCATGCAGGTGTGTCAGCACACGAACTGGTATATGCTGCAGGAGATCGCTCATTGTTGGGAGGCATGATCGCCCACGCCAGTTGGCAGGGCACCTGATAATGATGATGATGATGCTGAAGTTTAACTAAGGGGAAATGGGTGTACATTAATGGCTGCATAGGATTGTTCTAGAACCCCCCCCCCCCCCCCCCCCTTTTTTTTTTCCCCCTTTTTTTAAATTACTCGATTGTTATCAAACAGGATCAATCAGAAAGACACTAAAACCAACAAAAGACAATTACCATATAATGGACAGAAGATAGCAAGTAATTATTTTTCGTCTTAGAAAAGGACACAATCGACTTCGCAGCCACATGTACACGAAATTTAGGATTGGCGAATCAGCCGTGTGCACATGTGGATTAGCACCTGAGAAAACAGACCATGTCCTTCAAGACTGTCCTAAATACAACATATCTAGGCAAAACTTTTGGCCAAGAGAAACACTGGTGCAAGCCAAACATTATAGGTCGCTGATTGAATTACAACAGACAGGGAAGTTCACACTAGAGACAGCATAGCAGATATAGATAATCTATTTCAGGCAAACGAAGGAAGACGAGGAAAATAACACGGGACAACTGAAGTTTATTGGGAGTAACGACGGAACGGCCGGGACACGCCTAAAAAACTGAACTGTCTCTGGGAATGCGGGAAGAAAAGGCGCTCTTTTGTATAGAATCTTCCCTTTTTAAGTAGCTGTTTTCACTTTTCTGATATGATTTAAAGTAGTTGTAAGTAAGTAAAGTAAAGGACCTTTTTCCACGCCTTTAGGCATATAGGGTATATAGGACTAGACCTATATTTTATAGACCAATCAGCCACCTTTATTTCACGGGACTGCACTCGGTACCAAGTTAAGGCCTAGTCGACCTGGGAGCCAAGGTCATTTTTGAAAATATCTGGCTCCGCCATTGAGGGAACCCATGACCTTCCGAGCGTCTAGCCGCTCCGCCACGGCGACTCCCAAGTTAGTAGTAATGATTGTTAGTATTTTATTATTATTGCACAATTAGTGCACCCTCTGAGGACCCCTAATACTTTTTCTATAGGTGTGGCCTCAAAAAGTATGAGTCTTGTTTAATTACGCAGTAGTAATAATAATACATCCGCAAATTAAACCAAGTTTAAGGCCCCGGCCCCTAGAAAATTATCAGGAGCCCCCCCCCCCCTGCCCCTGGGCCCCATTTCTTATCTGTTGTGACGCCTCCAAATATTTGATGCAGACACTGTTGCTCAGTGTTGCCACTTTGGATCTTTTATATCCAAATTTAGATCTTTTTAGATATTTTTTGACACCGTTTTGGATATTTTTTGTCAAAGAAAAGTGGCAACACTGCTGTTGCTCATGATTTTATGCGCACCATAGTCTGTGTAGGGAGTCTCCGTGGCGGAGCGGCTAGACGCTCGCCGCAGATCGGAAGGTCGGAGGTTCGTTCCCTGGCGGAGCCAGACCTTTTTCAAAAATGACGTTGGCTCCCAGGTCGACCCAGCCTTGAGTGGGTACCGGGTGCATTCCCGGGAAGTAAAGGCAACCGGCGTGATGCTGACCACATCACCCATCGTGTGCCGATTGGTCTATAAAAATATAGGTCTTGCCCTATATGCTTAAAGGTGTGGAAAAGGATCCTTTACTTACTTTATTTATATTTTGTGTAATTTTGCAGGCAAGCGACAGCAGCCCTGGACTGTTTCTCTGAACTTCTGCGCATGTGCTATACCAGAAATGACCCGGGCTTTTTGGAGGCCTTAGGCATGTACGACATCACTGGACTTTTCCAGAAGATGACGGCTCTTTGTAAGTTGTCAGTCACCAATAAAGCAAGAGCAGTCACATAACATTCATTTACTGGTGCCTCTTCAGAATAGAGGGCATTAAATTATGTGACAGAATCCCTCATCGTTTTGGTAGAAAACTAAAGAAATAGCAGTGGACCAAAAGGGGAAGAAAAGACGCCGGCGTTAAGTAAGAGGCACGTTGAGAAAACCTGAAATCAACATAACTAGAGTATCCCTGTACTGTAACCCACTAAGGCATAAAAAAGGCAAATTTAAAAAAAAACACATGGAAAAGGGTGCTAGAATGTGAAGTTAATCAGACGGGGAGGATATGGCGGGATGAGCTTCAAGTGATAGCGGATAGAACGACTTGAGTTGGTTAAAGGCCTATGCTTTTTTTTTTAGGGGGGGGGGGGGGGGGGTAGGTAGGCAGAAGAAGAAGAAGAAGTCACACAACATGTATTTCTTTTTTTTTCTTTCTTTCTTATTTAATTACTTGTTTCTCTGTTATACTTTTTGGACATTCTGTATAGTACTTTCGAGCTGTTGAAAGAAATTTACGAGAAAGAAAATTTGTCGAAATAAACTGAAGATAGAGAGAAAGGGAGAGAGAGAGAAATTTGTCGAAAGAAATTTACGAGAGAGAAAGAGAGAGAGAGATACAAAGTTGTCAAGAGAAATTTACAAGAGGGAGAGAGAAAGGGAGAGACTAATAGAAAAATATTTTGGCAGAGGAAAAAAAATAGTGTTTTATGCGGGGAGGAGGGGGGGGGGGGGGTGGTGTGTAAAATATTTCAGTCATATTAAACGACTCAACATTTTTATAAAAACCATACTGGAGGGGCAAGTTTAAGGCAAGCGAGCAAAAAGGTAAGTCAGTCAGTAGCATGTCCTTTGAGGAACCTTGCTCCCATAACAGCTTTCCGAAACACTCGATCACAAGCAAGATGCCCTGCGTCCGATACACCCATCTGGAGATCATCCGACACATCCTGTGCCCAGCTTCTCTTTGGCCTTTCTCTTCCTCTCTTCCAAGGCATATACTCCCCCATTATTATTCTGTTATGGTTTCTTGGCAAGTTTTGCAGAAGGTAGTTTGCCATTGCTTTCCGTCTGGGCAGTGACTGTTCTAGTCGGATAGCCATAGCTATTGTCTCCACTGATGACATCATCTGCCTATCGCCGCAGAGTGCCTGAGCATAGCCAACAACAATCTGTCGGCTGCTTTCACACTCTAACCACTACCTGCTTCTATGGCTTCACGTAACCCTGATTGGGGAAAAAGGGGGGAGGGGGGCTAAACGGGTACTCCACATTGCCAAAGGGCATCCCGTAGACTAACAGATTAAAGAAGGCATCTTACTTCTCCTTTGATAGGGGATACCCCTACCCCGCTAACCGAGAGCAAAAGGTTGAAAGTAATAATTAACAAGATAAATTTCATCACTGGGTGAGGCCCCTTATTCTTCTTAAATATTTTCTAGGTGGGGGGGGGGGGAGAAAAGGGGTGGGGGGGGGCCTCAGATCTTCTAAAGGGGCACAAAACTCCATGGTTAAAGAGATCCTGACTGCTGCCAAGATTTATATGGCACTTTATTTATTTATTTATTGAACAATAGCTGCACTTCTGTGTTTTGAATCCGTGTATGATTCCATTCAGACCTAATTTAATTGTTATCATAAGATAATGTCTCATTTTGTTTGACATATTCCCCGTGTGGGTTGTGGGGCCCCATTGTGGGAAGGGGAAGAGGGATGAAACAAGAAGAAACCCACTGCCTTCCTAACAAGCATGTCGTAGGAACCCACTAATCGGGGACTTCCTTCAAAGTCGGAGTGCATCTGCCTGAGCGGCAAGGAATAACCAGCTGCACACAAATAAACCGGTAAAACGGATGTACACGCAAAACTTAAGCCCTGCTAAAAAGCCAAAGTCAAAATGGACGAACAAATTTAACTTTCAGCCGGAGCTTACAGCCACTGAATGAAGAAGTTTGACATTTGATTCATCTTTAACATCTTTACAATTTCATTTTCTCAACAGGTAGCTGAAAAAAAGTGTCCCACCTCTCGATCCTGATCATTGCCAAAATGCCTGCTATCACACATATTCAAAATTTTAATCCATGGAACTAATAAAACAGAATCGTACTATAAAATTATCGTGTTTTATTTATACAAGATTACTTCTTCTGTGCCGTAGTCATAATATAATGTTTTGGTGTTTGCAGTTTGAAACATTCAAATATTTTTGTTTGTTTTATCGTTTTTACACATCTGTTGGTATTTATTTATTTACTTTGTGAACAGTAATCATCCTATATTTATGTCATGCCATTTTTTTTTGCTCCAACCCCACGATTGTCTGGTATTTGTTATCTCGTCCATCCCACGGTAATGCTAAAGAATGATCTTCAGAATTCCATGGATAAAGATGAAAAGAAATACTGACATTCTAAAAGCTCTGAACATGACGCAAGAATAATTGGCTACTAAACAGCATCCTGTCTCGGAAGCTGACACAATTTGGCCATATCAATCACCACAGCGGATTGGAAACAATAATAGCAGAGGGCATGGTACCAGGAAGGACAGACAGAGGCTGACCATCACAAAGATGGGCACAGGCTATAAATGACTCCTTGGATATGAAAGTGTACGAGGAAGGAAAGCTGGCAAGAGACCAGGTTTTGTTAGGAGCCTCTCTTGGCAGTGGCGAAACGTCGTGGTGAAACATGATTCGATTGCCAAGACTACTTCAATGAACACTGGAAGCTAGTCGAAGAAGAGGAGGGCAAAGATATATATATACATGTCGGCGACTGTGGCTTAGGCGTTGCGAATGCGCTTCATAATGCCAGGGTGCCAGGTTCAATCCAAGCTGCGGACCTTGCACCCTGCCTTGGCTTTGACAGTGGTATCGAGAAGTCGACCGTTTAGAAAGCAATGGCAAAATACTGGATGTAAATTTGCCTAGAAAAACCACAACAGCCAAAAAAAATGTTGGGGTTGGTTCTGCAATGTCCTGTAAAGGATACACAACAAACTTGATGAAAATTTTCGAGAAATGTTTGGGCAACCGCTAAAATCAACAGTTTTTAGACCCCCAAAAATATTATTATACTAGGTACATCTTGAGGAGAAGCAGACAAAGAATCATATAACAAGCATTGAAATGGGAAACAAATGGAAACGACCATACTGGGCGAATGACCACACCTATAGACACAATAGTGTAATCCAGCTGCTTGCCATCTGGGGGCTTAAGACCATGGCCAGCAACTCTCTGTGGACTTGGGTTTAGCTTAATCAACCACCTGTTTGTATAATTTCACATTACACTGATAGGAAAAGGGGATACTGAGAGCTAAACAGGTACTACACCTATCTGGCAAAACTAATTTTGAATTCATCACTGTGCCAGATTGCGATGAAAAACTAGTAACTAAAACATGCAACAAATGATGTTTTAAATAAAGTTTATTTCCATGATAATCACACACAAGATAATATGAACACACAATATATCTGTAACTATTCTACAGTATCTATTATCTGTTTTTTTTGGGGGCAACATCTATGTCTAGTTTATGTTTTCACGTTTGCATTTTATTATTTGTAGTAATTTTTGTTATGCTCATAAGGAACAACAAAGAGCAGAGGCTGTTCACAAGTATAAATGTGGCACACATTTTTCATTCGTGTAAACTAGTCTGCAATGTTTTATTAGTCAAAACAAGCACATACTGTTCATCAATGTGAGCTAGCTTATGATGTTTATCCGTAAAACCAAGTACATTCTTTTTTTTTTTTTTTTTTTTTGGTATCAGTGCAAACTAGCACATGCTGTTTAACTGTGTAAACTAACACGTGCTGTTTGTCAGTGTGAACTAGCACATGCTATTTATTAGTGTAACTTACTACAAACTGTTTATCAGTGTAAACTAGCACAAACTATTTATCTGTGTAAACTAGCACATTCTGTTTGTTAGTAAAACTACCACATGCTGTTTATCAGTGTAAACTAGCACTGTTGTTTATCAGTGTAAACTAGCACAGTTGTTTATCATTGTAAACTAGCACATGCTATTTATCAGCGTTAACTAGTACAAACTGTTTATCAGTGTAAACTAGTACAAACTGTTTATCAGTGTAAACTAGTACAAACTGTTTATCAGTGTAAACTAGCACAATTGTTTATAGCACATGCTGTTAAATGTGTAAAATAACACATGCTGTTCATCAATGTAAACTAATGCAGCTGTTTATCAGTGTAAACTAGTACATGCTGTTTGTCAATGTAAACTATCACTGACAGTTTATCCGTATAAACTAGTATATGCTGTTTGCCAATGTAAACTAGCACAGACTGTGTATCAGTATAAACTAGTACATGCTGTTTAACAGTTTAAAACAGCACATGCTGTTTATCAGTGTCATCTAGCATGTACTGTTTATTTCTGCAGAAGCCCTTTCTGTTTGAGGATGTCTGAAAGTTAGATCACATTCCTTACCTCATATAAATAAGTAGAGGAAAAAAAAAGTATATACAAGGTCAAAGTTAAATATACTCATCTTCTGTCAAATAATTATGATTGTATGCACATCTTGGAAGCAAAAATAAACAAGAAAACTTGCCTGGCAGATCATTTTGGCAAAGGTCAAAGGACATTGTTTATAAAAAGTAAACGCTTGTTTATAAAAAGTAAAGGACTCTTTTTTTTAAATGCCAGTGGCACGTCGACATACGATCCCAGACCCATACTGTCCCAGCTGGATTACGATACATGTGCCTTTTGGCCCAGAACTACCAATTTCAGCAAACCCCTAATAAGTCACCTTTAGGACATGCTTGCTGGGGGCAGAGGTTATGCCCTCCTCCTCCCCCTCCCCCCAAATGGGGCCCTGGAACCCACACAAGGAATATTGATATTAAACTGAACTGAAAATTTAACTTGGTATGAACATTACTTAGTTATTTTTTTTTTATTATTATTTCTCCTCAAAGGATAAAGCCTGAAAGGTTAATATCCAGTGACTCATGGAGCCACTTTCTAGATAAGGATTAAAAAGATTCAAATCCAAGAAACCCCATTCAACTGTACAACAGTTATATTGGAGCAGACTATGGTCACAAAGTAACTTGCTATCTATAAACAGTGAAAAATCTTTTTTTTTTTTCATTAATTGATTTTACTGTTTTGATAAAGGAGTGAAAAATTGAGTTCACATATTAACAGTTTCCATTATCTTGATTTTGACAATTGCTCATGAGAGTTATATATTTAAACTTTATACTAATATCTTTAAAATATTTGTTATCAAACTATTGTTCTCAAATAGACAAATAGATAACTCTGATACTATATACTAATAATTTTATAGTTGTCTCCCTTTGTTATCATTTTGGCAGCGTAAACAATTTTTTTTTAAATAGTTTACTTATACTGGTATCAAATGCTAGTATTTTCATGCTGCACTGTGCTGACAGCATACAGTTATTGATTACATTACAGTCTCAAATAAGAAATTTGTGAAAATGTTCCAAAATCCCTACTTTGTAGTATACATCAGCTGTCATCTGTCTGTACTGGTGACAGAGCACTTATGGTTTATAACCGCGTCCAATGATGCTGGTTCACATCTCCCGACTTTACTTTTTTTACCTTTACCTTTGTAGTATACAATGAAAATTATCTAGTTAGAAACATTTTCACTATAGAGCAAGTCCTTTGCAGAATATCACTTTTCTCACAGCCCATATCCTATATTTTGGCAATTGTCAAAATTTCTTTTCCTCAACTGAAAAAAAATTTATTACATGAATCACTTTGCTCCTTTAAAGATAAAAGTGATAATTACAACCGGAAGCCATGTTTGATTATGTAAACATTTAAACAAAAATAATAAGCAAAGCTAAAACATATATATATATTTAAAAAAAAATAATAAAAATAGAAAAATATTTAAAAAAAAAACTTATTTTGGTTTTTCAATAGTAAGAGTGATAATTAAAACTGGAAGCCAAGTTTAATAATGTAAACATTAAAACATAAATAATCTGCAAAACTAAAATATATTTGTTTAAAAAATAAAAAATAAACATTTTACTTCTTGCATAATAAGGCACACTTTTGATTGTAAAAAAAAATACACTTTAAAAACCAGCAAAGATAATTTAATCAATATTAGGTTTAGAAATTAAAAAAAAAAGATGTACTGAGACAAGCTACACAGTAGTGGGGTTAAGAAGGTTAAACAATATGATATCATGAGATAAAGTAAACTATACAACAAAGTGAACTGAGATAAACTATACAATATGATATACTGAGATAGGCCACACAACATGATATACTGAGATAAGCTGCTTAACATGATATACCGAGATAAGCTAGTCAGCATGATATACTGAGATAAACTATACAATATAATATACTGAGATAAGCTATTTAAAATGATATAATGAGATGAGCTTTTTAAAATGATGTACTGCGATAAGCTTCTTAACATAATGTACTGAGATAACCTTTTTATCATGATGTACTGAGATAAGCTACTTAGAATGATATACTGAGATAAGCTGCTCAGAATAATATACTAAGATAAGCTGCTCAGAATGATTTACTGAGATAAGCTGCTCAGCATGATATACTGAGATAAGCTGCTCAGCATGATATACTGAGATAAGCTGCTCAGCATGATATACTGAGATAAGCTGCTCAGCATGATATACTGAGATAAGCTGCTCAGCATGATATACTGAGATAAGCTATTCAACATGAGATAAGCTACTCAGAATGATATACTGAGATAAGCTGCTCAGAATGATATACTGAGATAAGTAGCTCGACATGCTTAGATAAGCTGCCTAATATAATATAATGAAATACAATATATTATGCGCCATTATGTACTAGGATAACTTACACAGCATAATATACTACGATAAATTCACAACCAGATTAACTTAGATATGTTTGCAGCATGAGATAATAAGATACAGTCTACTGCCCAACCGAAGCAAAACAATCAGATAATCCCAGTTCCAATGGGTCAACCCACAGTAGCTCCATTCCTGTACCAATAAAAACCACACAGAATGCTTATCAAAGTCCTCTGAGAAATAACTGACATGGACTGTAGTTTCCACAACACATTGGAATGTATTGAAGCAGGCATTTGAAGTGAAGTAAGCAACAGACAATGTTCTTCTCAGACAGGCTGTACCACTGTATTGAGTGAAGGACATTTTTCTACATCTCAAAGTATATTAGAGATTCAAGCATATAGCTTGCCACCCAGTCGATTTCATGTAAATAAAACAGGGAAAGAAAGTTAAAATTCTGACGTGGTCACAGGGTCGTTAGGCCCGGGGGAATGAAATCCAGTTAAATTGTCAATCTGTTCTTGGTAATTGGTTACTCTCTTTCCAATTTTCTAAAAAGAAATCTTTAAAACAAAAGTATATATACATACATATATATATATATATATATATAAATGGGTATCAGTATTGTTCTTGGAAGGTAAGGTGGCCGGCCATATCACCCACTGAGTGCCGACTGGTCTATAAAATATAGGTCTAGCCCTATATGCCCATACACCTAAAGGGGTGGAAAGGGTCTTTTAACTCTTTCAGTCCCAACCAGTGCATCATATGTGATAAACGCGTTCTCATAAATCCCAAACATTGTGATGTTATGTTCTATTACTTGTTGCATTTGGTCACAGAATACTAAAGAAATCTGGTATTCCTAGTCGCCTCTCTGAAATTTCACTACTCATAATTTTTCATAGTGGTTATTTCTCTTTTTAAGCAACTACAGAGAAAAGTTCTGGGACAATAGGAGTTAATAATACTAAAACATAACAGTCTTAGTCCTGGATTTATTTTCAAGTCCTTGTGGCTATTGACTGAACAACTGTGTTCTTTCTCCAAAGAATCACACTGAGGATGTTGAACTGCTGCGCTGTGAACTTACTGTGACAGAACAGAGCAACTTCTTCAACCAGAACTGCTAGTGATTAGATGCCCCTTTTGAAGATCCCCCCTTTGAGGCTCCCCCTTTTGAAAATTTTTCTGCAAATGCAAACCTTTTATCTCTTGGTTGCTTCTCTGCTTGTCTTTTCAGCATCATCTGAAAAATGGAGAGAAGAAAAGTTTTTAGAAAATGGCTTTATCAGTGGAGGTAATCTGGGCTGGCTGCTGCACTGAAGAACTTAGAATGCGCACGGATGTTAATTGTGATAACATCATCATCGTCATTAAGTGCCTTGCTGACTGGCATGGGCGATCATGCCTCTCCACGATCTGCGATCGGCATCTGCTTGTATCAGTTCATGTGCTGACATCGCTCTATGCCATGACAAAAGACTGTCGACAATCTTCACTCGCTGTTTCCTCTGTCTCTCTTTCCACAAATTGATAATGGTATGATAACATATATTATTTTTTTTAAAGCATATCATAACATAAACATAATTTATCATAACATAAACATAACATGCCATAACACAAACATAACATATCATAATACAGCATATCATAACATAGTACATCAAATCCTTACAAAACCCAACAATGACTCTCTCTGTAAATTGAAAAGGTAACAAAGGTTAAAAGTTAAAGGTTACAATCAAGAAGATCAACTTCATTGAACAGGATTTTATCCCACACAGCTTGATCTCTCTAGGCAGAATGGCTAGCCACCTGCTGAGAGTGTCGCACAAAGCTTAAATATCATATCTTTGGCGACTACCCCCAGGGGTCTCCATAAAAACTGCACTCATGAACTGAATATGTAGCTGTCAAAAAAAGAACAACAACAACAACCCTCAGAGCTCAAGGCATATTGTTTAGATCACTTTGCCACAGAGACCTTCGTGAGGCATTGCATAAAATTATCCTCATTTCTTGAAGTCTATTATTAATTATGTTGTTCCATCTATTTGTGTGGTCTTCGTTTTGCTTTTCTGTTACATTTTTTTCAGCATCCATGACAGCTGGCGCCAGGGCATTCTCATCAGATGGCCAAACCATCTGATCTTTTGCTCTTCAATGAACTGTACGACAGGTAACAATAACAATGAAATTGTGCAACGAGCATCTGAAGCCTGACCTGCAACTGAAGCTTGTTTGTGAAAAATAACTCCTTCCATCCCTTTTGGTCTGACAGCATCAGTAGGTCTGGGGTGATTGGCTGTGTTGTGTGTTGTAGGTAGAGTTTAGACCACAATGCATCACATGAGCAAAGCTGGAAATGTATAGATATATGGTGATCATAATCCTCTTAAACTGTTATTTTGATAAATTGACAAGGAAAACTTGATATATGGTGAGCATCATTCTCTTAACCTGTTATTTTGATAAATTGACAATGAAAACTTGACATATGGTGAGCATTATTCTCTTAACCTGTTATTTTGATAAACTGATGAGGAAAACTGGACATATGGTAAGCATCATTCTCTTAACCTGTTATCTTGATAACCTGACGAGGAAAACAGAGTTATTTGGATATCCTTTACATCTGAGCACGGGCGGATCTTGCTTGTCACACTCGCCATTGCCATGGGCTGTGAGTCCCATGCCTCCTCATAGGGCAATATAGCACCATCGTCTGGAAAGACGGAAAGGTGCCAATCAATCATCAGTCATCTGAGTCAGCTGGGTAAATATTTGGTATCACAGCATTCAGGACAAGTCCATGTTAGCTCCACCCCCCTCATCAACAGCCAGTGAACAGCCTCCATCCAGATGCTACTCAGTGTCATCTGGTTTATTCATCTTGCCTTTTCCCTGAATCTCAAATGGCACCCAGAACCCGTAGGCACTTCCCGCTGCAAAATTCTGTTAAAGTCTGGGTTTTCAAGATATGAATTTTACATGTTACCTTTACAGAACTTCCCAAATAAACCCCAGCTTTTATTGACTGCTGTATGGTTGAAGTAGACAATGTGTGCATCAGTTAACAGCAGGAAGAGACCAGGAGATTTGGTCGACACTCAAATGATAGGAAAGGGGATATGGACATATAATCAGACTACTACAGGTAATGCTGGATGTGAGCTCTGCATTGGCTGCTGAAGATGAGGATAGGGCCCTTATCATAACGTGAAGAGCCCTGTGATGTCAGTTCTAAACTCAACTCAACTAGCTCTACATTACATTAAATAGCTTGCTGCTGCCTTCTGAACAGTCTGATGCTCATACCATTATCAACACCAGTTCTAAGTGGTCATCTACAAAATCACATGTAAGCTGAGTATGAGCTCTGGTATATCGGGATTGTGAAACTGCATTCACAAACTCAAACCATACAGACACCAGCTGACAAGAAAAACACACACATGGAAAAACAACCACAGAAAATTATATCATCATCCCTTTTATGCAAGGCCGGAATTAAACTTGATGAGGCCCTCTACTGTTTTAAATTACAGTACTTAAAATCAGAAAACTTTAAATATATGCACCTCTTAAATACATGGATGGAAATATAGTAAAGTAAAAGTAAAGGACCCTTCAGGCATATAGGGCTAAACCAATATTTTATAGACCAATCGGCACTTGGTGGGTGATGTGCTCAGCATCATGCTGGCTGCCTTTACTTTCCAGGACGGCACCTGGTATGCACTCAAGGCTGGGTGCACCTGGGAGCTAAGGCCATTTTCAAGGTACCGAACCTACGACCTTTCGATCCGCAGTGAAGCATCTAGCCATTACATGTAAATATACTGTCACAGTAAAAGAAATAATGAGGAATATGCTTGCAGAATCACATAAATTATATTATTTAATCCTCCTAAAGGCTCTATTGAAAGGAAATTTCATTTGTGAACACAAAATAGAAAACTGTTGAAGCCCCTGCATATTGTGAGGTCCTAAGCTTAGTCAGTTTATGCCTAAATCTAGCACTGCTTATAGGCCATGCTAATAATAGGCATAGATCATCAGGTCTGCCACCTGTAACAGACACCAGAATCCCCCGTGTGGGTTCCAGGGCCCTATTATTGGGAAAACAAGAATAGACCCACTGCCTACCGAAAAGCATGCCATAAGAGTCAACTAATTGGGAGCTTCCTTCCAAGTCGGAGTAAATCTGCCTGAGAGGCAAGGAACCAGCAGTCTGCACACAAATGTTTCAGATCTGTCAAACGGATGCACATGCAACACTCAGGTTCTGGAACAGGACTGCAGTCCAGAAGTGGACGAACAACCAGAACTTTCCACCAGAGTTTACAGCCAGTGAACGCAAAGAAGAAGAAGAAGACACCAGAATCATAAATCAGGTTTATTTCATTTCATATTGTTAGGACTTCCGTTTTCAAAATGGCGAACAGCAGCGTTTTTTTTTTCTTCTTCGCTGTTTGTGATTTCTCTCGGACTGTTCTGTTCCCTTATCACGGACTGCTATTTTGTGCGCATTTTCATTACAGGATACTATGTGTCAACCACTTTCCGAGGTGGAGAGGAATCAAAACACACGGTTAACTCATTGGCCACTTTATACTGTCAAATTCTACAGTAAACAAGATGTTTCCTTTGAGGGTGTTTCAAATGAAAACCTTAAAAGTGTGACAGAAAAGAAATTACAGTAGCCACACCACTTTCTTGTATGCCTGTCAATATTATTGTTAAGGATGTCAAGAGTGGTAAGTACTGGATATCCGGTGCAGATGAATACAGTGACATCAGTGAGGCAGTAAAACCCATAAAGATTCATCTTTAACTTGTGAAACTAAACTCCTCATGGTCTGCATACTGAGCAATTAACATCTGCAGGTTTGAAGAGTCATTATTCAGATGAGAATCTCCCAGATAAAAATCCCAAAAACCTTATGGTTACTAACAAAAATGACTTATATTAACTTTACAGTTTGAGAGTCCCTGTTGCGTAGGGGATTGACGCTCAAGTGTGGATCGGAAGGTCGTGGGTTTGCTCCCTAGCGAGCCAGACATTTTTTTTTTAAAATGACCTTGACTCCCAGGTCGACCCAGCCTTGAGTAGGTACCGGGTTCAGTCCCTGGAAGTAAAGGTGTGATGCTGACCACAACACCAATCTTGTGCTGATTGGTCTATAAAAATATAGGTCTAGCCCTATATGCCCTTTACGCCTAAAGGCGTGGAAAAAGGACCTTTACTTTACTAACTTTATAATTTATTCCCCAGATCTGTGTTAAAGTTATTTTTAGTCTTTTAAATCTGTGACCAGTACTTTAACTTTATTATTTGTCCTTTCAAAACTGTTCTTCTTCTTCTTTGCTTTCACCAGCTGTAAACTCTGGCGGAAAGTTCTGGTCTTTTGTCCACTTCTGGACTGCAGTCAAGTTCCAGAACCTGAGTGTTGCGTGTGCAGCCGTTTGTCAGATCTGACTAATTTGTATGCAGACTGTTGGTTCCTTGCCTCTCAGGCAGATGCACTCCGACTTCGAAGGAAGCTCCCAGTTAGTCGACTCTTACGACATGCTTTTGGGTAGGCAGTGGATCTGTTCTTGTTTTCCCTATAATAGGGCCCCGAATCCCACACGGGAATCAAAACTGTTAATATTCAACTTTAAAATTTTATTCTCCTTACCTCTCTGAACAGTCTGTTAGTCTGAGACAGTTTTGCAATGGAAACAAGGTCAAGGTTAAATATAATCCGTAAAAGAATTTTCCTTGGTAACCTGCACAAGTAGTCAATTTGACCAGCAACCAGACGATCAAGGTATTGTAATTCATGTTCTCCAAAGTTTCTGGCAATTGTTGCTTTAAAATAAAAATAAAAATAAAAAAAGAGGTAAAGATACAGGGTATATTTTTAATTACAGTATTTTTTTTTAAATATTCCTATTCCTATTTTTGTAATCAACCTCTGTGGAGTTAATGCAACATACTGCTATAATAGTGTGTCTTATTCTGGGTACTATTTTCCACATTACAGCTGTTTATGTTGTAGTTGTCCCTATGTGGGATGCAATTTTTTTTTATTTGAAGCCCTATCCTGGCTTTTGCCGGGGGCCCTGAATTAGCCGGGCCATAAATATGGCCTAATGGCTAAAAGGGGTTTCTGGGAACTCTCCATGGGTGATCCTCACCCGCAAGGTGGCACTTTGTGTCACCGGGTTTTTATCACTTGTGTGATGTCCTGGTGGGGTACAACAAGAGAGAAAGAGAGAGAGAGAGAGAGAGAGAGATTACATCTCTATTCACAATCGATTCTACTGTATAAATTGCTAACAGTATTATAATGAGGCACTTTCCTCCATTTTGGCCAGAAGTTACAATGTTAATAACAGAAGAATTAATTATTTTGAAATGTAACAAACACGTAATAGCTAGATCAAATTATAAGATTAACTAACATATAAAAGAAGTGACAACTATAATCAAACCCTTACTTACATCCTCATGTAGCAGGTCCTTTGCAGAAGCAAAAGTAAAGTAAGGGACACTTTTCCACGCCTTTCAGGCATATTGGGTATATAGGGCTAGACCTACATTTTATAGACCAATGGCACTTGGAGGATGATGTGGTCAGCATCATGCCGGCTGCCTTTACTTCCCAGGACTGTTGCCTGGTACCCACTCAAGGCTGGGTTGACCTTGGAGCCAAGGTCATTTTTGAAAAAAATCTGGCCCCCGACAAGAACCGAACCTACAACCTTCCGATCTGCAGCTGAGTGTCTAGCTGCTGGACCACGGCAGCTCCCCTTTGCAGAAGTGAACAAAGTAAATTAGCATACTTAGATAGGCAATCCCGACAGAATGCAGTATTGCAAAATACAATTTGAAAATGATGATAATTATAATTATTTTCCTAGAGGCCTTTAAAAAAAACAGTAACTAATTCAGCATCATTTAGAAGAATGATTAGAATACAATATCATGAGAAATAATCAGATGTTTGGACAATTCTACTCAAACAGTGCACCTGTGTATACATACATGTATGTGCACGTGATAGACTGGAGTGTATTTGTGACTTTGATGAACTCTTATCACACACAAAATCAAATCCAAGACTTTACTATGAAGAAGTGATGCAAAGTGAACAAACATGGTAGGTAAGTGACCCAGGCAATGTGCAGTGTCAGAAGACAAACCTGAATATGACAATTCTTTTCCTAGATGCTGAAAAAAAAACCAGTCACTAGTTCAGAAATTGATAACAATGTTGTTATCAGTATCATTATTCATAATCACTGTTACCAAACCAAGTTTATTCAACAGTGTTATTTTCTACTACGGAATAACAGTATTCATAAAACAATCCACCAATCTCAATGTGATATTAAATTTTGCAAGTCCTCGCTTAAATTCAATATATTAATCAGTACACGATTAGGGCTTCGTAATGCCGGGATGTCGGGTTCGATCCCAGTTGCGGGCCAGGCGCCTTGTATTGGTATCGACAGTGGTATCAAGAAAGTCGACTGTTCAGAAAGCAATGAGAAACTACTGGACGTAAATTTGCCTAGAAAAACCGTTGTTTTTTTTTTTTTCTGGCTCTGTGGCTAAGTCGATGCGAACGCTTTGTAATGCCGGGATGCCGGGATTCGATCAAGGCAAGGCCATGCGCCTTACCGTCCAGAAAGCAATGGCAAACTACTGGACGTAAAAATTAGCCTAGAAAAACCACACAACAGCCAGGGGCTGTTGGGGTTGGTTCTGCAACATCCTGTAAAGGATACGCAACTAAATAACCTAACACGATAAGGCACCATTAGCCCCATCAAAATATAAAGCCAGTTCCCCTCAGACAGCCATTTCCGTCACTTGACTCAATCTGTTTTATACCAGTATTCCACACTGCCAGTTCTCTATTTGGCCAGTCTCCTCAGCTGCCATTTCATGACTCTCAACTGGCCAGCCTCCCTCAAACTGTTATTTTATATTTCCAGGATTGCATCACAAACTTTCTGTGTCTCAAACCCTACCTGGCCACTCTACATACAACTTCGAAAAGACACCTGGCCACAAGAGCAAAGTGTGTTATGGGGAACCATGAAGGACCTGCTACTGACATGCGAGTTTATAGGTGGCAACCCACCTGATGGTCTGATCTGAGCATATGAAACCGAACGCAAAGAAAGAGAAAGAAAAAGTGTCCCTTTCGCCTGTGTCATACTAGGCCAGTCTACCTCGACTGCCTTCTCCGTGCTCAGGTCACTGAATTCCACAGGCGATGGGCCTCTCCACGGAGAGCCCAGTGTAGGGTCCTCACCCAAGTATTTTCTCTTTGTTTTCCTCTTGCTCTTTTTGTTTTAATCAATCTTGCCAGTCATCACGAAGTTCTCAGGTTGAATTATTCCCTAATATGTTAAAAAAAACTGACTGTCTGTATCTAGTGTCCATAAGCAGTTTATACTTTTTATTTGTCTTGCGAAGAACTGTCTTATTTGGGGGTTGAGACCTTTGCTCCACTGGGTGACAAAGGGCAGAAAAAGAAGAAAATAGATAAGTGAACAAAAACATACCCCTCAATCTTTCATCATCTATGAATTCACTGTAGGTGCATACTGTTTGTGATGGCTGTTGTACCGCATCAGCTCGTGTAGGTGGAATGATCTTCCATACTCTGAAAATAACCTAGGAGAATACAGATCATAATAAATGTCAATTCATTTTTTTGGGTTTTGTTTTTTTAAATCTTGTTAATAATCTTTTGCACTCTGGACTAAAATCTGAAAGAGAGACTTTCTTGTACTTTTCAGAAGGCACTGATATGAATATATTAACTAAATATAGCATTTATAGGGGTTTCCTTATAAATCCAACAGCTTTTCTTAAAATCCATAATGACTTGAAAATTGTCACTTTGGCCTCAGTGATAGAGGTCATGAGGTCATGATATAAAACACATGTTTGTTTTAGACCCTCTGGAATGCACTCCATTCAATGCTTCACTTTGTTCTTATTTATTACTCACTTTATATATCTTAATATATCTTTATATATTTCAAAACACACACACAAATGTTAATGTACATAACTACAATTGTAATCAGTTTATTAATTATCTATGTAAACAGAACACACATCATGATAAATGTCAATTTATTTGTAAATAATTTTGTGCACCCGGTACGGACGGCTGAAAAAGAGACACACTGTGATTCAAAATCGAAAGTAGTTATAATAACATGAGAAAAAAAAAAGGATCCTTTCCACGCCCATATATCAGGCATACAATAAATAAAGTAGAGGGCACTTTACACACCAAAACATATAATGCTAGACTTGTATTTCCCCAATCTGCACTCCATGGGTAATGTGGTCAATGTCACTTTAGCCTCATTTGAGGCTGGATCAATCTGGGAACCTCCTTCACTACCTAGGACAATACCTCACACCCAATTGAGGCTGGATCGATCTGAGAACCTCCTTCACTACCCAGGACAATACCTCACACCCATTTGAGGCTGGATCGATCTGGGAACCTCCTTTACTACCCAGGACAATACCTCACACCCAATTGAGGCTGGATCGATCTGGGAACCTCCTTCACTACCCAGGACAATACCTCACACCCAATTGAGGCTGGATCGATCTGGGAACCTCCTTCACTACCCAGGACAATACCTCACACCCAATTGAGGCTGGATCGATCTGAGAACCTCCTTCACTACCCAGGACAATACCTCACTCCCATTTGAGGCTGGATCGATCTGAGAACCAAGGACAAACTCTTAAACAAAAATATATCTGCATTGATGTGGATTTGATCCCTAGACCTATAGGCCAGCATTTAGTGAGAATGTTACTGTGGCTCTCCCTTTAGCTGGACAAAACAATTACCATATTTTACCATGTAGATAAAGTGATGTTTTTCCAGTTTAATTATTAGGGGGTCGTCTTATACACAGAATGTGATGGAAAAATTTGTTTTCTTAATTTTGTACTCAAAACATCAGAGGCCTTCTTATATATTATGGTGTCTCACACATGGGGCATCCTACAGCTATGAAGTATTCTGTTGTTATATGAGCTGGGTAGTCCGATTAAAAATTTTACTATAACAAAACAACAGCAGATAATGAAAAATACACCTAAAGACTTCCCCGTGTGGGTTCTGGGGTCCCAATGTGGGGAAAGTAAGAACAGACCCACTGCTTCCCCAACAAGCATGTTTTAAAAATCTTGTAACTGGGGGTTTCCTTCAAAGCCAGAGTGCATCTGCCTGAGAGGCAAGGAACCAGCAGTCAGCATAAAGATTAGTCAGATCTGTAGAATAGATGTGCGCACACCACTCAGGTTCTGGAACAAGTTTAAAGTCTAGAAGTGGATGACCAGCCAGAACTTTCCTCTGGAGTTTACAGCCGGTGAACGCGAAGAAGAAGAAGAAGAAGAAGACGCTTAAAGACAAAAAATACAACAACATAAATGGATCCAGAGAATGACTCATACTTTGACTGCTTATGTTGGAGTCGGCATACCAAAGCTGACTAAAACCTGACTACACCTCCAAGTGTTGTACCTCCCAGAAATTGAAAAACCACTGTAGTCTGACTGAGACCTTATTTTAACTGAGTCCCTAGTCCAACTGAATACCTAGTCCGACTGTGACCCCAGTTTAGCTAAGATCCTAATTCGGATCTAACCCTAGTCTGAGGCCTAAATCTGGGCCCCTTGTCTGACTGAGACCCTACTGTCCATAGTCTGACTGAGACCCCAGTCTGGCAGAGATCTTAATTTTATCTTTGTCCATCTGAGGCCCTACTCTGCCCGAGGCCCTAGTCTGCTGACTGAATCACTAGCATGACTGGGACTCTACTCAACAGAGACCCTAGTTTAGCTGAGATCCCACTGCAACTTCATGTGCTGGTCCTGATGACAGCTGCATCACTGCAGTCTGACGAAATAGGCACTCAAGGGTGATGTCAAACTTGCCACTTAGGAAACTGTTCAGAGACCTGATATGTGTGTGGAACAGTATAATTTGATATGACACTGGCTTTAAGCAAAAATATTTCTGTGCCAACTCACAGCATTTATTAACTCTTGCAAAATGACTATTAGTGAGTGAAGTAGAAATATGCAGACTGGCTAAAACAGATCCTTAAAAAACTAAAAACATTTCTTAACTGGTGTACATGCAGAGTATATGTATTTAAGTTGCAAGATAGAATCGTAAATGTGAACTCTATAACAGATTTAGACAAATAGGAGTGAAATCAGAGGTGAAGATAATGCTGGTGCTAGATAGAAGAAACAATGAGAAAAAAATGTGACAGCTGTAAAACTAGAATATCCTTACAATGGAACTTTCGGGGCAAAACAGATAGAGGGAAATATAAAGTTAGTTAAAGCAGAGGATCGATTCATTGCTCAGAGTATTATAGCACAGAGTCTTGTTAACTGGATGATGTATCTGTTAAATCTTCTTTTTTTTTTTTGGCATTCGCCTGCTGTAAACTCGGGCAGAAAGTTTTGGCTGTTGCCCACCACTGTTCCAGAATCTGAATGTTGTGTGCACATCTAATTTTACAGCTCTGAGTTTTTTAATGCAGACTGTTAGTTCCTTGCCTCTTTGGCAAATGTAGTCTGACTCTGAAAAAAAGCTCCCCAATTAGTTGACTACAACAACATGCTTGTCCGGGAGGCAGTGGATCTATTCTTAATTTCTCCAAAATGAGGTTCTGGGACTCACAAGAGGATGTTTGTGAAGTGAACTCATTACCTTCGGTGTGTAAGGCAAACGTTTGGACCACTTTCATCACCACAGAGGAAACATTTTTGTTTTGTTTTGTTTCTTGAGAGGGAGATCTAAAAACACATTGAGACATATACAGACAGAGAAGAAGAGTGGAAGGAGGATGAAAAAAAGATAAGATGTATTGGTGCAAGCAGGCTGAGGGGGTATGATCCTAATTCACCATAAAGTGCAGATAAAAACATAAAATGTGTAGAAATTAGGAAACAAAAAGATGGTACCAATATGCTACAATTTGTAAAATCTTCTCTTTTTCTGCATTCATTTGAAGACATAATTGTGTTGTGCCCATTTACAACATGGCTGTGATAATTACGCCTTTCAGCCAACATATTCAACGTCTGTAAGCATTTGTTGCCCGAATTAGCCTGGTAAATTGCTAACATAAAATAACTGAAAATCTGCATTTGTTATGATTGAAACAAAATATTATAGGTGTTTGAAACAAATGATGATTATTATTGTTTTTTTTTTTTATATCTATGAAAGTCACTGCTTCAGAATATTTAGTTTTACAATGTTAATCTTTGTCTTAGTTGGAAGTTTCAACATCAACACAATCAGATTTCCCCATACTTGCTCCGTTCCTGTGTCAATGCAAATCAAACAAAACGTCCCTCACTGTCGCATTTGAAAAACTGGTGAAAAAAACCGCCAGTCCCGGAACAATCCAGAAACTTGTAAATATGCATTTCAGTTGCTAGAGGCGCCACAGCCAATAATCGCCACCAGAAATTTAGTTTGTCGTTAATGGAAGTAGTTGGGCAAGATAAATTGGTTACTAAATGCGCATAGAATTATTACATCAGGTATTTCACCAACTCACACGTAAACCAGCTACCGGCCATACTGAATACCAAGACATAAAAGCTGCACAAATAAAAGGCATTCCACATGAAAAACACAGCTCACAGGGCTGCACCAAGCACTAAACTCAGTAGCTTAGGCAGCAAAACCATAGACTACCGTCCTTATGCGGAAACTGCATTAGCAAAGTGCTGTCGGAAGCAAAACTAACTTTGAAGCTTAACATTCTGCCAAATCTTTCTTACAAATTTTGGTCAGAAGTTACAATGTTAATAACAGAAGAATTCATTATTTTGAAATGTAACAAACACGTAATAGCTAGATCAAATTATAAGATTAACTAACATATAAAAAAAAGTGACAACTATAATCAAACCCTTACTTACATCCTCATGTAGCAGGTCCTTTGCAGAAGTAAAAGTAAACTAAAGGACACTTTTCCACGCCTTTCAGGCATATTGGGTATATAGGGCTAGACCTACATTTTATAGACCAATGGCACTTGGAGGATGATGTGGTCAGCATCATGCCGGCTGCCTTTACTTCCCAGGTGTGTTACCTGGTACCCACTCAAGGCTGCGTTGACCTGGGAGCCAAGGTCATTTTTGAAAAAAAACTGGCCCTCGACAGGAACCAAACCTACAATCTTCCTATCCGCAGCCGAGCGTATAGCTGCTGGACCACGGCAGCTCCCCTTTGCAGAAGTGAACAAAGTAAATTAGCATACTTAGATAGGCAATCCCGACAGAATGCAGTATTGCAAAATATATTTTGAAAAAGATCATAATTATAATTATTTTCCTAGAGGCCTTTAAAAAAAACAGTAACTAATTCAGCATCATTTAGAAGAATGATTAGAATACAATATCATGAGAAATAATCAGATGTTTGGACAATTCTACTCAAACAGTGCATCTGTGTATACATACATGCATGTGCATGTGATAGACTGGAGTGTATTTGTGACTTTGATGAACCCTTACTACAAAGAAAATCAAATCCAAGACTTTACTATGAAGAAGTGATGCAAAGTGAACAAACATGGTAGGTAAGTGACCCAGGCAATGTGCAGTGTCAGAAGACAAACCTGAATATGAAAATTCTTTTCCTAGATGCTGAAAAAAAACAGTCACTAGTTCAGAAATTGATAACAATGTTGTTATCAGTATCATTATACATAATCACTGCTACCAAACCAAGTTTATTCAACAGTGAATGGGTGTCTGTTGTTGATTGTTGAATTAAGAATCAACATCACAGCACTCGGGGCACTCTCATTAGTGTTCCGTCTCCATCTTCAGCAGCAAGTGAACAGTACCAATTCCGATGGCACCAGTAACTGTCGGATTGTATTTCCGTCTCATCCTTATCCTGAGTGTTGAGTGTCAGGCCAGATCCCCTGGTAACTCCTCGCAGCGTCATTCTCCTCAGACCGTAATGATCAATCTGCGCCTCTGCCCTGCTCACTCATTCCCAAAGGACCCTCACAATCTAGCTTATCATACATCAATTCATAACACACCGGCATGACCTGGAGAAAATATCTAAAGAATGCTAACTACCCAGGACCTCTGAAGTGATGCTTGCCACTCTGCACAAAGCATGTATGTCTCCACCTTTCTCAACATGCTCTGTGAGTCAGTTACAATCATGGCATGTGTGTATAGCTGATTCTCTAGCCAGCGGAAGGCAGTAGAGACTGCCTCCACCTCCATTCTCAAACTAGTCATTGTGAAATCATATGCAAGGCTTTGCTGCACTAAGTGACGTCCTTTTGCCTTTGCTATGAACCCCCATGCACTTTGTCTGCCCCTCAACACAGAGACGATCTGTATATACAATCACATCACTTGGGCAGGAATTGGGTGTCTGTATGTTTCTATAGATAAATATAAGCCACATTTATCTGTAAAATATCAAATCATTATTTCAATTTTGTGGTTTATGTGTTGCAAAAGAGATTTGTATTTCCAGAGTGACAGGTTTGATTACAACTGCAGGCAATTTAGCAGCAGACCGCCCTGCATTCGTTTAAACATTGGTGTTCAGTGCCCCCTTTTCCAACAAGCACCCCTTTCCAACAAGCACCCCTTTCCCACAAGCACCCCTTTCCAACAAGCACCCCTTTCCAACAAGCACCCCTTTCCCACAAGCACCCCTTTCCAACAAGCACCCCTTTCCAACAAGCACCCCTTTCCAACAAGCACCCCTTTCCAACAAGCACCCCTTTCCAACAAGCACCCCTTTCCAACAAGCACCCCTTTCCAACAAGCAATGGCAAACCAATGAACAAAATATCACAAATAGCCAAATAAGGCTGGGTTGGTTCTGAAACATCCGGTAAAGGACACACGGCCAAATGTGTCTTCCTTTTCTCTTTTACATAATTAATGAATGAAGTGTACACTATCTCGTATCTGTCATTATCTAATGGAGATTGTCTAGCAACAAGATGGCCATAGCAAGGCAAAGATTAGACAGCATTACAAGTCTATGGTTAAGCACCAGCAAGGAAATTAAAATTAAAATTTTGAGAGCATGCATCTTCCCTGTAGCAACAAACGTATGTGAGTCGTGGACTATCTCCTTAAGAAAGAAAATAGGGGCGTTTACCCCTGTGTGGGTTCCGGGGTCCCATTGTGGGGGGAACAAGAATAGACCCACTGCCTCCCCAAAAGCATGTCGTAAGAGTCGACTAATTGGGGAGCTTCCTTTGAAGTCGGAGTGCATCTGCCGGAGAGGCAAGGAACCAACAGTCTGTATTCAAGAGAATGAGACAAAGAAAACTGATGCACACGCAACACTCAGGTTCTGGAGCAGGACTGCAGTTCAGTAGTGGACGAGCAACCAGAACTTTCCGCCAGAGTGTACAGCTGGTGAACGCGAAGAAGAAGAAGAAGGGGCGTTTAATCTGAAATGCTACATAAAGATTCTCAGGATATCATGGCCAAAGAAAAGAAGAAATACTGACATTTAAAAAAATCTAAAGGAAGATTTGCTAATAAACATCATTTTGTCTCAGAAGATGAAATAGTTTAGTCATATCAAGTGCCATAGCAGACTGGAAAAAATAATAGCAGAAGGCATGGTACCAGGAAGGAGGGGTAGTGGCCAACCAATGTGAAGTTGGGTATAGGATATAAGTGATGCCTTGAATACAAAAGTAGGCTATCCTCCGAACACCAGCCACACATTATGGTGACCAAAAAACACCCTGACAGGGTCTCAATCACATGTAAATTGCGGACTTCTTTATGGAGAAATATACCGCAGCAAAAGTAGGATAAATTTCCAACTATGATGTTGTGAAACGCAACAAACTGCCAAGGTAATATCGCCGCCAAGAGTTCCCCCCATGCTATGCGTAGAGGCATGGAGAAGAGCTAAACTAGATAGCTGGGACTCACGAGCAGCAGCTACAGCAACGTGCACCTTCCTAATTTTATTTGCTCATGAGTCCCAGCCATCTAGTTTAGCCCCCCATTCACGCCGCATGAAGCGCCACGGGGATACTGTCGGCGGTGCGTCATAGTCGCAGAAACAGGATCGCAATTAACATATTGCTGAGAACTGTGTTAGAGTATGTGTTTGCCTTCGATTAATATTGGCCCGTTATCCAGAGGCAATCCTAGTTTTGCCGCGATTTGTTCCTCGGCAGGCACTCCACATTTTACATATGACTGAGGCCCTGTCAGAGTATTTGGCAGCCATAATATGGCTACTAAGTTCGGAGGAGAGCCCATTTTTTAATTTTTATTTTACTTATTTGAATATTTGTCACTTGAAACAGTAAACAGAACCACTTTCTAATTAGGACCTCAGGAGAAGAGATTGCGTGAGCAATTCAGAACTGCAAGATAACTGAATTATTGATATTGATTGACAACAACCATCTTGGTGTAGAAGACTGTAGTACTAGTAGTAGTAGGTTTCAATAATCCATTCATTAATAATCCTTGTAATTCCTAGAAAAAAAAAATTAAAAACATCTAACAAACAAACAAAGTGGAAGAGAGTTGCACGCACTAACTAACCTCATTTGCTGTTACGAAAAGCTGTAGAAAATCCTTGCTGGGAGCAGGAGCAACGTCGGTTCTGCTGTAGAGACTTCCGTCTTCGTTTAACCAGGGCTTACATCTTCGTTCCCACTTAGAGGCCATTTTGTTGTTGTTCCGTCTCCATGACAAAGACCTTGACCCGGAAGTTGACCTGTACTGTTGAGTCTCTGAATAATAAACATATTTAAACGACACTAAACTGTAAGCACACAGCCCCCCCCCCCCCCCCTACCCCAACCCCTTTTCCCACTCTCTCCCTCTCTCTCACGCGCGAGCTCTCTATCTCTCTCTCTATCCCTCTCTCACATACACACACACATACACTATACCCGCTGATACACTCAGGGAGACAGGGGTGCCAACTAAAACCGTAATGCGGCAATGCTAGACATAGATGTCGAAGCAGAGCAGGGTTGCCAATGGGATTTTTTTGAAAAACCCAGCTAAGCTGAACAAACCCAAGCAAAAAAAAAAAAAAACCTAGATTGTTAAAAAATACAAATTTTATAGTTACAAAACAAAATATTTACCCATTTTTATATAAGGATATTTTTTTTTATAAACCACAGATTTCAAAATGTGAGCCCAATGCGTCAATTAAAAACCCAGATCTTGGGTTAAAAACCAATCATTGGCAGCCCTGAGCAGTGGACTATCACGTCAGGGCTACCTGTAGCAACCGTTGATATCTGATCTATTTAATGTGTACACAACAGGGGTCACACGTACGCATCCAGAACATTGGACCGTGGCGCACCATGTGGAGTAAAAGAAGTAAAGATCCCTTTTTACGCCTTTGGTGCATCGGTCAGAGCACCCATATTTTTACAGACCAATCGGCACTAGGTGGGTAATGTGGTCAGCATTCTTCTTCTTCTTCTTCTTCTTCCTCTGCGTTCGACATCAGTCATGATTGACATTGAGTCCCGTTTGGGTCACAAATAGGATTGTGCGTTTAAGGTCACCACCGGTTCCCCATAGCTTCTCTTTCAATGTGGCGCCCCTGGGCCAGATCCACAGTCTATGCTGGGAGAGGTAAGGGCAGTATTGCAGTATGTGCCCAGGGGTCTGTCTTTCTGCTCCACAATCACAGGCAGCAGATTCTTTTATGCCTATCCTGTACAGGTGTGCTCGAGGACCACAGTGTCCAGTCCGAAGTATGGCTTTACACCGGCCGTCTTTACTTTCCCAGGACATACATCCTGGTACCCATTTAGGGCTGGGTCGACCTGCGACGCCCCGTACCATGATAAAAATCCACGCAGCCAGCAGTGGGTTTCTATCGCGGTACGTTGGAATTATGAGTTGGACTGGCAGATACTAAGCCACTGACGCCGCTGCGCGCCATGTCCTTTGCTAATAATGTACTGACGTACCAGCAGGGTACAAACAAAGAGGAGACAGTCATAGCGCTGCAGCAAGAACGTGAAGACTGACCATACTGTATGAGTAATTAGGGGCTAGAGAAACCCAGCTAGGGTTACTAAGGTAGCCTAATTAAAAATCCGCCAGTGCTTCCCCATCTTTGTTGAATATGTTCCAGAATGGCTGCAAACATAAATGTAAATAACTGTTAATCTCTTTTAACAAAGGGGGAAAAGGGTAGAGAACAGTAATGCGGACATACACACACACACACACACACACACACACACACATATATATATATATAGGCCATTTGGGAGTCGCCGTGGGTTCGCTCCCTGGCGGAGACGAACTTTTCGTCAAAAATGACCCCGGTTCCCAAGTCGACCCAGCCTTGAGTGGGTACCGGGTGCAATTCCTGGAAGTAGAGGCGGCCGGCGTGATGCTGACAATATCACCCATCTTGTGCCGTTGGTCTATAAAATATAGGTCTAGCCCTAAATGCCCTATACGCCTAAAGGGGTGGAAAAGGTTTCTTTACTTAATAGGCCATTTAAATGTAAATGTTTACATTTATATAGAAAAATTAAAGGATCCCTTTCCACGCCATCAGGCGTACTGAGTATATAAGACTAGACCAATATTTTATAGACCAACCGGCACTTGGTGGGTGATGTGATCAGCATTACGCCGACTGCCTTTACTTCCCAGGCTTTTACCTGGTACCCAATCAAGGCTGGTCGACTTGGGAGCCAAGGTTATTTTTGAAGAAAAAAGGTGTCCGGCCCCGTTTGGACCCGAACGCACGACCTTCCGATCGGCAGTCGAGCCTCTCCAAAATGACTCTACGTGGTTGGATAAAGAGGGGAAAATGCAGACCAAGAAAGGTCTGCAGTTGGCTGACCGCGTTAACCCCATACACACGAAGATCAAGTACACTGAATCTGACTGATAGGGGAGTGGGTGGGGGTGCTGGTAAGACCGTCAGCAGCAAATGGCGACCCGACGATATGTGGTGATGTCATAAGAATCTAATGATTAGATTGTGATGATAATTTCTGATGTGAAAGCAAAAAAGCCTCCAAAAGAGAAGACGGACTGATGAAGCTGAACACATTTTACACCTAGTGGGAATGACAATAATCAGTGCTACCCATCAAGGGTTGGATTGCAAACTTTCCAGCCCTAATGAAGTAATGGGCTATCCTCCGAATAACGGTTATAAATTATCAGGGCGCACAATATACCCTAACAGGGCCTCAGCCACGTGTCAATTGCGCACTTCCGGGGACTATAACGCCACCACCAAATTGCGAACTCCTTCAACTTCCGCCACCGCCGAGTGTGTCCCACACGCCGCGGATTGGGGCTAAACTAGATGGCTAGGACTCACGAGCAAATAAAATTAAGGAAGCTGCAGGAGATGCGGTAGCTGCTGCTCGTGAGTCCTAGCCATCTAGTTTAGCCCCAATCCACGAGGCGTGCTGGACACTCTCAGCGGTGGCAGTAGTTGCCGAAAGTTCGCAATGCGGAAGTCGCCGGAAGCGCGCATTTTAAGGCGACGGAAGTGCGCAATTGGCATGTGACTGAGGCCCTGTTAGGGTATTATTTTCAGGTGCCACAGAGATGGAAATTCAGCAATTAATTAATTCAAGATAATGCTCGCTCAGAAGATTTAATTATTTACACAGACGGTTCAGTGTCAATAGGCAAAAGAAGTGCTTGGGGTTTCTTTGCAAAAGTTAATGGTCGTCGTTTGGTGCAGATGAGCCTAGCATATGATACCACAATATCCAGCTTAAGAAGGAAGGTGGAGGCGGTCACTGCAGCTTTCCGCTGGCTAGAGAACACACACATCGTGATTGTAACTGACTTAGAAAGCATGCTTCGTGCAGAGTGGCAAGTCTCACTGCGGAGGACACGGGTGAGAAGTAATGTCTGGATTTTTTCACCAGGTAATGCCGGTGTGTTGGGAAATGAACAGACGGACAGACTGGCTGGATCTGCACAGCTTGGTAGAATACTGATGCATGATAAGACAGACGTGGTTAGTGCTTTGTGGGAGAGCGTGTTCGGAGGAGCAGATCGATCACCACAGTGTGGTGAGATTGATGCCAAAAAAAGGGGGGAGGGGGGAGTGACGAGAGGTTTTGGCAGATGCTCGAGGCTCAGAGGAAAGGCAAGACGGACTTTTAATCAGAATGCTACTGGCACCATTAGTATCAGAACCCTTTGCTGGCTGCTGCAGATGGGGACGGAGCGCTTAAAGGAATGATGTCAGTTCTTGAATCAAATCAAATATTCTTCTTCTTCGCGTTCACCAGCTGTACATTATGGTGGAAAGTTCTGGTTGTTTGTCCACTTGTGAACTGCAGTCCTGCTTCAGATAGCTTTGATGACGAAAATGATGATGATGTGCGCCGACATCCTATGGCGCATGGGCAGACGTAGTTGTGAGCTACGTCACCAGTTTCAGCTGACCAGACGAGCAACAACAAAAATTGAGAGAATTGCTACCTGAATATTCACTTCATGCAACATGACCATCTACACTTCTGTCCAAACGGAAAAGAAGCCAGATAAGGATATACTAGTGCCTGAAGTTGTTACCGAACCCCTGGTAAATGACTCAACAGTAGTAGTGATGGTTAAAGGGGGTGTGTGTTTAGAGTTTAAATTTGTTGTCAAGTTACAAAATACAATGGGGAGTTGTACTAGATAAGCTTTGCAATTACATATGATACATTCACAAGATGTATTAAAAGGTTAGGCGATGTTGCTCAGTCATTTCGATTGCATTTGTAGACTATAGATTGTGTGTATATTATTTTAGGAGTTTGTAATTGTGAATTCTCTGCCGCACACTTGCTGTTTTGTAGTGTTGAGTGTGACTAAATGAAAATGATGTGTATGTGTCCCTCCACACCCTTCCAGCCCCAAATCATTGATTTTTGAGATGCATTTCAAGTTTCATTTACATCTTATGTAAAGTGGGAATTAGGTAATACCAGCTGTAGTAATACTAGTAATGGCTTAATGTTGTATTTTTAAAATTATTATTATAAAATTATTGTGCCAGCACTGTGATTCTGACTGAATTGCACTGTCAGTTGTGTTTTGACTAGAAAAATGGGCGATCTATTACCTGAATAATGGGCACTAAAGATTGCCGCCGCAAAAATACCCTAACAGAGCCTCAGTCACATGTCAATTGTGCACTTCCGGTGACTTAATTTGGGTTTTTCCGGCGACTACCGCCACCGCCGAGAGTATCCCCAAAGCCGCTCATGCGGAGTGGATGGGGCTAAACAAGATGGCTGGGACTCACGAGCAGCAACTTCCACATCTCCTGCAGCTTTACTCATGAGAGTCCTAGCCATCTAGTTTAGCCCCAATATGTGCAATTGACACGTGACTGAGGCTCTGTTAGGGTGTTTTTGCGGCCGCCATCTTTTGTGCCCGTTATTCTGAGGATATACGAAAACATGAATGTAAACACTAAGACACGCCAGATGTAAGATGGAAGTTGTGTAAGTGTAATAGTGTTGCTGTTGTTTAATCTAAGAGCAGCACTGTTTAGAAGCACTGTTTATAGTAGTTATTGTCATTGCATTTGTCATCATTGTTATTATCATTATTTTCAATTTTTTTGTATATATACTACACTGTTTTTTTATTGGTGACTGCACCATACATGTTAGTGTACTATTTTGTGTGTAGATTGTTGTGTCATAAATGTTAGTATACTGTATTGTGTGTGGATGGTTGTGCTTTAAATGTTAGTATACTGTGTTGCATGTGGATGATTGTGCTTTAAATATTAGTATACTGTGTTGTGTGTGGATGATTGTGCTTTAAATATTAGTATACTGTGTTGTGTGTGGATGATTGTGCTTTAAATATTAGTATACTGTGTTGTGTGTGGATGATTGTGCTTTAAATGTTAGTATACTGTGTTGTGTGTGGATAGTTGTGCTTTAAATATTAGTATAATGTGTTGCATGTGGATGATTGTGCTTTAAATATTAGTATACTGTGTTGCATGTGGATAATTGTGCTTTAAATGTTAGTATACTGTGTTGCATGTGGATGATTGTGCTTTAAATGTTAGTATACTGTGTTGCATGTGGATGATTGTGCTTTAAATGTTAGTAAACTGTGTTGTGTGTGGATGATTGTGCTTTAAATGATAGTATACTGTGTTGTGTGTGGATGATTGTGCTTTAAATATTAGTATAATGTGTTGTGTGTGGATGATTGTGCTTTAAATGTTAGTATACTGTGTTGTGTGTGGATGATTGTGCTTTAAATGTCAGTATACTGTGTTGTGTGTGGATAGTTGTGCTTTAAATGTTATTATACTGTGTTGTGTGTGGATAGTTGTGCTTTAAATATTAGTATAATGTGTTGTGTGTGGACAGGTGTGCTTTAAATGTTAGTATACTGTATTTTGTGTGGATGATTGCATTTAAATATTGGTATACTATGTTGTGTGGGGATAATTATTCTTTAATATGTTTGTATATTATGTTATGTGTGGGTATTGTGCCACAAATGTTAGTATACTGTGATATATGTCAATGATTGTGCCATAAATGTTAGTATAATGTGTTGTTTGTGGATGATAGAATCAGAAATATTAATATATTATGGTGTGATCAGATTATTGTGTCAGAAATATTGGCGCTCCTTTGAATCATTCCTCAAAATGACGGCATGCCACGTTCTGGCCATAAAATATCCAAAAATATCCGAATGACAGTGTTCGCGTATATCTAAAATATGGACTTTCTGCCAAGGAACAAATCGCGGCAAAACTAGGATTACTTGACAATCAATATCAACATTTGCACATGGTAAATACCGACCGTTGACAACAATTTCGAGCGTTTCTGCAGACGATACTAGCAGACGATATTAGCGACCGTTGACCAATTTCGAGACATTACAGACAATGAAAGCCGATTAGCAATACTGTGTTCTTCTGATTGGAGGATTTAGCAGCGGTAGATGTCAGACTTGTTGGCATGCACCAAACGCAATTAAACTCATCGCCGAGCGTATCCCCCGCTACGCGCGGCGCGGATGGGGGCTACACTAGGTGCCTGGGACTCACAAGTACAGTAATTGGAGGAAGTTGCAGGAGATGCGGTAGCTGCTGCTCGTGAGTCCCAGCCATCTAGTTTAGCCCCCATCCGCGGCGCGGGGGATACGCTCGGCGGTGAGGCACACTCGCAGAAGCAGATGGGCAAGCAACGTATCGCCGAGACCCTGTCAGAGCATTTGTTTCGTTAACCGGAGCCGGCACATATATTTGTAATAGAACTGACCCACATTCGGATATTTTTGGATATTTTATGGCCAGAAATTGGCCAATTTAGCTCTCTTTTGAACGCCATCATATTAAAGCCCCCATTTTGGGGAACGATTCAAAGGAGAGCCAAAATATTAGTATAATCTGTTGTGTAGGGACAGTTGTAGCCATGTATATATAAATATATATATATATATATATATATATATATATATATATATATATATATATATATATATATAAATATATATATATGACTATACTGTGTTGATTGAGAAACATATGTTAATACACTGCATTATATAGTAAGTGTGCAATAGATGTTAGCATACTGTGGTGTATGGTGATATATTTTGTATAAGAGATGATTTATATTTTTTAGTGTCTTGAAACATTGGACACAGGATATAAGTGAATCCTTGAGTGTGAAAGTTCTTGAGGCGAGAGACCGAGTTTCTTTCAGGCAGACTGTGATGAGAGCGACGTTCTGCAAAGGATCTGCTACATGATAATGAGGAAACATATTTTTTAATAGTTTGAAGTGCAGAATTTTTTATATATTCAAAAAGAAATATGGTTAGCTAAAATAAGATATTTCTGTCCCATTTGCAGACTGGCGGCAAGGAAGATGGTGAAGGGGATGAGATTGCTGTGGGCATCAAAGTGGTTCGGGTTAACTACTTTCAGGCCAGCAGACGCAGCTTCTGTATTCACGTCTTGCTGACAGTTATGGTTCTTGTGATACTAGCGTGTGGAGCCATCGGAGCACTGGTGTTTTACCGACATTTAAATAAGAAGGTGTGTGTTTTATTAATTGTGAATGTCAAGAGTGTGACAGATAAAGACATAATACAGTACTGAATGTAAATAGTATAAAAGATAAAATACAGTATTGAATTTACACAGTATGAAGGGTAAAATACAGTTGTGAATGTAAATAGTGGGAGAGATAAAAGTAATACAGTAGTGAATGTCTTCTTCTTCTTCTTCTTTTGTTCGTTTAAAAAAAAATGATCTATATCTGCAATGCTGTCTTTTATAATTCACTTGGAGGCCCATAAAGTTTCTACCTGTGACTCTCTTGGTCAGAAGTTTTGTCTGGAAACGTTGTATTAGGGACAGTCTTTGAGTGTGTGATCTGTTGCCTCAGGTGCCAGTCCACATATACACAAGGCTGATCCGCCAATCTTAATTTTATGTACATGTGGCTGCGAAGTCAATTGTGCCCTGTTCTAAGGTGTAGAAAAAGACTCATTCTGGTTTGTTGAAAATACAGTAATCATCTTGTGCCAGTTTTGGTGGCTTTCTGATTGAATGTGTATAGTATGAGAGATTAGTTGTAATACATTAGTGAATGTATTGTTAAGGACGATTCAACTAGTGGTCCACGAGCTGAAGCTAACCCATGGATGCCTATCAAATGGCCTGCGGATCATTACCAGCTGTATTGTTTTAGTGATCTTTCTATGATGAGACTCGAGTCTCTGGCCTGTGACAATTTCCATTTTCAACATATTGGCCCTTGAGTTAACTTAGCCGAATTACTCTGGTTAAATAATTACTGATTTAAGAAACAACATCATAGCACACCGGGCATACCCATAGAAGTCTTAAGGTGTAGATGCTAACTGTTCCCGTAGCACACTGATTATACACACGTCGTTCTCTTCCTCTCATCCGTCCCTCCTTGCCAGATCCACACTTAATTCCTTGTTCACACATTCTTGCACATGTTATTTCATCTAATCTCGTGTCTTCGGTCAGCATTCGTTCACTTATGGTCTTTAGAATATGTCCCTTTTCCAGTATGAGTGTTCCCGTAGCTTTCGCTTTTGTTGCCAGAAAATCCGCTCTTTCATTCCCTCGCACTCCTGCATGTCCCGGACAGTATATCCACATGATTCCCTGCAATGTTGGTTTGCATGGTATCCACTCATGCCACATTAGTCCTGGTATAGAGTAGGAAAGTTAAGTGTCTTTGCAGAAGTGAATGTGTATAATTTGAAAGATAAAATTCATACCATAACAAATGTAGCTTTATAAAGTTCTATGGCCATCTTTGATCTGTCACAGTCGGCTTTCTCAGTTCAGAGCTAAAGAAGAAATGTTACAGATTAGTGTACTAAAGTATTTTCACAGGCTATTTTTTTTTTAATATGTTCAAATTAATATTATTCTTTGCATTATTCTTTGCATTCACTGGTTTTAAACTCTGGTGGAAAGTTTTAAGTGTTTGTCCATTTCTGGACTCAAGTTCTGTTCCAGAACCTTAGTGACTTGTGTACATTCGTTTTACAGATCTGACTCATTAGTATGCAGACTGTTAGTTCTTGCCCCTCTGGCTGATGCACTCCGACTTACAAGGAAGCTCCCAGTTAATTGATTCTCACGACAGGCTTTTGGGTACGCAATGGGTCTGTTCTTGTTTTCCCCATTATGGGGCCCTGGACCCACATTGGGAATGTGAAGATTCTAAATTAGCTGCTTTCTGAAGTCTGTGTCAGTTGGTACCAGAGCATTTTATCCTGATGCCTTATCTATTTCATCTGTTGCTTTTTAATGAATTCTATGGCTTGTTTTAGTCCTACCCCTTTTCTGATTTCCTAATTTTTCAATTTATCTTTCTGTTTTGCCTTAGCAGGTTTCCTTATTCAATGTGTGCTGCTCTTAAATTCTTAAATTTTTCTGATATTAGACTTCCCCCCCCCCCCTTTCCCCACCCCCACCCCTAGAGTTGTAATGCTCACACAAGAAAGCTTGCTTCTTAATTTCATTATTCCATCTTCTGTATAATTTTCTACCCCTTGGCTTTCTATGGCAGTTGGTTCCTGAGAATTATTTCCTGATGCCTTATCCATTTCATCTGTTGTTTTTTAATGAATTGTATGGCTAGTTTTAGTCCTAGCCTTTTATTGATTTCCTAATTTTTAATTTATCTTTCTGTTTTGCCTAAGCAGGCTTCCTATTGCATCTCACCTCTGTTATAATTGTCAGCTCACTAGCTGAAGTAAAGGTCCATGTTTGACAGCTGTAGATATTGTCAGCCAAAAAAATAAAATAGTTCTGATGAGATTTGTTTTTTTAGACCTAGGTCAGTTAGTTGGGTTATGATCATTGTACTCCGGACATGTCCATAGATGCTCAGATCCTCCCCTCAGTATGAACCCCAACGTCCAATGGCTAAAAGTACCAGTTCTATGTTGATTAACAAGTCTTCTTTCGTGTCTGGTATGCGTCTCGTTTTTTGCTGTGCCGATCTAGGTGTCTTCTGTGAGGCAAAAAGGGTGTTATAGATGTGTCTTTTTCCTTCTTCATTAAATTTTTTTCTGTTGAGTGCAGAGAGGGATACAGGTTTTGGGTTCTTGCTCTTTTGGTCACATCAGTCGAAGCATTTTGTACTGTTGTAGGCTTTCTCTGATGTTATCATGAGGCATTCTTCTTTGCGTTCAGTTTCATATGCTCAGGTCAGGCAATCAGGTGGATTGCCTCTGTGAACTCGCATGTTAGCTGCAGTTCCTTCGTGGTTTCCCCAAAGCTAACTCTGCACTCTTTGCTCTTGAAGCTAGGTGTCTTTTCAAAGTTGTAGGTAGAGTGGGCAGGTCTGCAGAATATGCTTAGGTGTTTGTGGTCCTGTCTGACAGGCACACTGTGGGGACTGTACAGTCTTTATTTTATGCATGTGGTAGTTGACTTCAGTGTCCTGTTCGTAGATGGAAAATTGTTGTATGTTGTTTTCTGTTTAGTCTGCTTATGGGCTCCTGTGGATGTTTACCGTTGACTTGTTCTCTCCACAATTACTTTTTTTTTCCCCTTGAAAAGTAATGACAGTGTATTGTTATGTTGTTTTCCTTAGTTCCATTTTTTGCAAGTCTGTCCGCTAACTCCTTTCCTGGCATACCGAAGTGAGCCGGAATCCACTGGAGATTGATTTGATTGTTTTCTGAGTGCCTATTTAACTGAAGGGTCAGTTCTCCCTCCATCTTGTCTTGTGGAACCCTTTGAGTCGCCTGGAGAACTGACATGCAGACACATAGGACATTTTTGTGTATGCTGATTTTAGGTTTTATACGTTGCATCAATAATTGCTTGTTGCTCTGCTGTGAAGATTGTTGAGTTTTCCTGAGGCACCTGAGGTTTATACTATGGTCCCAACTTGCAACATGATGACCGAATCAGGGTATACATTTGCTGCATTTGGGTTTTATAAGGCATTCTAAACGGACAAACTGTTTTATTTTCTGCCTTTATATGCAGTTTAATATTCATTCTACACTACTTTTGTCTTTCTTGCGACCTCATTCCTGATTTTATCTCTTCTTATCACTCATGCATTCTTTCTGAGACATCTCTTCCATGGTTACTAATTTTCTTTTCTGTTTTGTTGCTCTGAGTGGCCATATTTGGCACTTGTAGCATAGAGTGAGGATAAACCTCCTTTGTGTGTGATGTTTCTTTAATTGGACCGTTCTATTTTGTAAGACGGAGGGCTAACTGTCCCAATCCTTGGTTACTTCACAGCGTCATATTTTAGTTTCTTCACCAGTTATGGTATCAGCAGCAATTTATTACTGACCTATAATTTCTCTTGTCAAAGGTCTACTCAGGAGTCTGCGGCAATGTTTACTTTGATACCATCTACCATGCCAAGTCTGAGGCCATGTCGGAGTCGGTGCACATGGCTGCCGAATTTAGGGACACTACTCAGATGGATTACTTTGAGGAGGGGATAGAAGTCTCTGAGGTGGACTTGTTTGAGCAGCTGTACACTCCTCAGTTTGATGAGGTGCAGGAGAACTATGTCTGGCATGACTTTTCCAGGGTAAGTCTAAAGCTGAGTCTTTGTTGTATGTCTGTTTGACCTTTCACCTGTTAAGTGTATTTATTATGTTGTTTTAAAATTTGTGGTAAAAAAGAGGAGAAATACTCACATCTTGAAAGATCTAAACATCAAGGAAGAATGGCTAACAAACATCATCCTGTCTCAGAAGCTGAAATATTTTGGTCATATCAAGCGCCACAATGGCTTGGACAAAATTATAGCAGAAGGCATGATACCAGGAAGGAGGGACAGGGGCCGACCAACACGAAGATGGGCAAAGGATATAAGTGACTCCTTGAGTATGATAGTACAAGAGGTGGGAGAACTGGTGAGAGACCGAATTTCTTTCAGGCAGACCGTGATGAGAGCGACGTTCTGCAAAGAACCTGCTACATGATGATGGTTAGTCTTATTTTGACATGAATTGAAGCAGGCTACAGGTCAGACCAAGAAGACTCCTCAGGTGAATTCCGGGGCCCCATTAAGCAAGTTGTAAGAGGCGACTAATTATGGGTGTTTCCTTTGAAGTCAGAGTGTATCTGCCTGAGAGGCAAGAAACAGACTGCACACAAATAAGCTAGAGCTGTAAAACAGATGTGCATACAAAAGACAAGTTCTGGAACAAGACCAGAGTCCAGAAGTAGATTAACAACCAGAACTTTCCACTGGTATTTACTGCCGGTAAACGCAAAGAAGAATAAAGAATAAGTGAAGGTAGGGGACACCGGTACAGTTAGAGCTATTTGAAAGTGAAGAAGGAAAAGGAGAATTGCTTCACTTTAAGGGATGCATACACAGGAAAGAACTAAAGTTAAAGCCAGTTTCTAGACATATGCCCTGACTTCTTTATATTAAAGTTAAAAACTTTTTTCCGGTACCTTTGGTAGATTGTCAGCACTCTTTAAAGTTTGGAACTTGTGACTGTTTAATTTTAAAGTGTAGTCATTTGACTGTATACAAGAAATATTTTTTTAAGTTCTTGTTTAGCAAAAGTTGTATTTTTTAAATTCTAACTCAACAACATTGTATTATATGAATTCTAGTTCAAAAGTTAAAGTTTTTTACATTCTAGTTCAACAAAAGTTATATTATTTGAATTCTACCTTGTGTATAACAAGGATTGTGTTTTGCCTTCCACCAGAACTATACCGCTATAATAGATCACCATATTCGCCATTGCTATGTGATGAAACTGAACAGAACAGCAATTGCACCACCCAAAGATTTAATCGATCTCGTGGACAAATTAATGGTAAGTTCTCCACTTCACACTGTTAACAAAGTGTTCCTTAGATGACATTTTTACACCCTAGCACAGTATAAAAGTAACTGCTCTACAGGTTACACAAATTTGAATAAATATGTGTCACATTAATGATAAGTTATTAATGAGGATTATCATTACTTTGGTTAGATCCATTGGTGCTCAAATCTCCTCTATAATTCCAGAAGTGTCAGTCAACTGATAATACCTGTTCTTTATTGATTAACCAGACATCCTGTGCTGCCTTTGGTGAAATGCTCACTTCTTGCAACTCCAGGGTGCCCACCCATATCCTTAGGATATTTTAGATAAAATAAAGTTCAATGAATATTTCAATTATTACACCGGAATAGTAAATACTTCACACATGTGACACAGATTGAGAAAAAAACATGACACATGATTTTGTGAATACGTCACACATATTACACAGGATTAAACAAATAATTCACATGTAACACAGAATAGAGTAAAAACTTCACCTTCATGACACCTGATAGAGTAATTATTTATGCAGTAACATCTCTTTTGATTGAACCCGAGATGACTGTGTTCGCAGGCAAGTGCACTAACGCAACTGACTACATTTCACACTTAACACTTTCAGCCTTTAGAAATCAGTAATGACCATTTTAACAATTTCAGTTAAAATTAACACCTCCTTATAATTCTCTGAAACTGTGCCCTGAGAAGAAATAAATCATAAGGAATTTAGGGGGGGAGGGGGAGGGTTTATAGACATATCCACCATGTCTGCACACTCTACAGTTACAGCCAGCACCAGAGCTGTTATGCAGGTGTGGTGGCCACGGCCCTAAATATAATAAAAATGGCTTTCTGGGGTTGACTAGGTTAAGACACCTTTGCAAACATTTGTTGTGTGGCTCTGATTTAACATGCAGCACACCCACACACCCACATATGCATACACACACACACACAGAGAGAAAGAGATGATGAGAAGTGACTAATTTTCATGTTGTCTCTAACCAGTCTGGATACTACATGCCAAAGGCCAAAGTGATCCGAGAGAATTACCGCATGATACGCCCACCACTGTCCAACCTGGAGCACCTTGGAAAGAGAATCAACACCAAGTGTTCTCATTACGAAACCTTCTGGCTGGAGAAGTTTCAGAATCGAGGTTTGTGGGTTATATGTGCTTGTTGATACACATGTTGTACATTAGTGTGAATCTGTCTTATTGCCTGAATTAATTAGTCATTTTTTGTTTTGTTTTTTGGTTATTGTATGAAAGCTGCATTATTTTTCAGTTTGGTCATCTGCCTCCTTCATCACTTCCACTTTTACGACTTCGAGGGTTGAGGGAGGTACATGGTGGTTATATTTCTTGCTTTTCTAGCTGCCTCGACCATCGACACATCATGTTGTTTTATACTTTTTCTGATGTTATCATTCAAGTAGTGCTTGGTCTACCTCATGCTCTACTTCCTTCTCCTCTTTTCAAGTACGCCTTGTATGGTATGGTGTCACAAGGCATTCTCTCTAGGTGTGCAAACCATTTGATTTGCTGTCTGTGTATGTAATTTAGAATTGGTTCTGTGTTGACTAGTTCTCCTATGACCTCTCTATCTCCATAGGGCTTTAATGTTTAACACAGATTCTTCTGATGTTATAAAAATTATATTTAACCTCTCCCTGGCCATAATTTCACAGCCTCTGTACATATTGTATATCTCTCTCTCTATCACCTTCTATATATAGTGTATCTACTGTGAGCACCAGTTCATTGTTCTGGTTAGGACAAGCGTTAGTCAGCTCAGTTTCTGGCATGTATCAATAATTGGATGAGGAGTTCAGCCGTTACACAGTTAAGTTACTTTTTGTATCTTTTATGTATTTGCTGATGAAGGCTCTTTAGCCAGAACATTTATTTTGCCAGTTATTGTCTTGTTTTTTCTTTCTTTCTCTTCTGGATGAGAGGGGGACTTTTGACCAGTTATACTTTTTGCTTCAGTAGATTATTCTGTAACTGTTATAACTGAGGAGCGGCTTATCAGCAGTTCAGAAAAGCGGGCTCACATGCGGGAAACCAGAACATGCATTCTCTATAAGGTTGTGGTTTTTTCTGTTAGGTTATGTGTCATAAAGTGCCAGTATCAAAGGCAAGGTGGATGTCATGGACTGATAGTGTAATGGAAAGTAAAATGGGAACAGATAAAAGTTTACTCAAATTATATTTGTCCATGTATTTCATTTGCCCTCTAAGAGCATTGATCACATCTGGTTTGTCTTACGTCAGTTCACCACCCAGTAGTGTAACACCAGCCAGTCCGCCTCCCTGTTCATTTCCCAGCACACACACCTTCATTGTCCAGGAGAAAAGATCCAGAGTATTCTAACCACCATGGACTTCTGAAGCAATGCTTGCTGAAGAAGCTACTGAAATTAGAACATTATATGCAGTTATAAGAAAGAGACAAATAGTATCGTTAATGAAAAGTGAAGGCATTTGAAAATCTTGTGATAACCGGAAAGTTCACTTGTAGAAGAAGCAAATTCAGACCAAGAGAAATTATGCTGCATGTTCCAAAACTTTGGCATGAAGAAATATCACAAGAGAAGTGATGCAGAACACCAAAAACCAAGATCTGTAGAGAGACACGGATGCTGTTTGGTTGGCACCATGAGTTTCTTTTAAAATAGTTTGAAATAACCAAATTATTTTAGTTTTTGTGAAATGTGGCCCTTTTTTAGTCCGCTGTAATTTTAGAATATTTGTTCATAATTTGTAGAATATTTTGGCTGATGTTCTGCTGTATCTATAACACATTTAATCATAACTTCAGTTATTGAACACGGTGTAAACAAGGCTAACGCATTTCAAATTCTTCATGCATCATCCATCACACAGCTTTCTCAAAGCTGCCACTATCCGTTACCTCCGTCTAGAAATTTGTAAACAGAAAGATAGTGAGACTGTGATTGCCCTGGTAAAACAGGCGGTTACTTTTGAGAATGTATGAATTTTTACTTCAGTTATATAGAAGTCACTTATTTGCTTTATTTTATTGTTAATATACTATGCACCTGACAAGTTACAGTGATATATGTCAGGCGGTAAATTGTGCAATCTACTGTTTTATCTTCTTTGCTCAAATTTATAACGAGGAAGAATTTGATTTGATTTTAGTTATTGTGGAATGTGATCTAGGCAGATTGGTCTATTGTATTTATAAAACATTCATTCATAACTTCAGTTATGGTAAAGTTTGATCTGCTATATTTGTAAAACATTTATTTATAACTTCATTTATTATAGAATATGATCTGTGCTGAATGATTTATTTATAACTTGAATATTTGCTCATAATTTCAGTTATGAAGCGCAGTGTTTCCTATCTGCCCCTGCTAGCCACGAATGGACCATTAATTCACACCCACTGCATGCTGTCCAACTTCGCTGACCACCAGGAAATATTCAAGATATTCATCCACGACACAGAGATGGAGAGTAGTGCTGAGCTGGGCAACCACACAGAGACAGCCAGAAATCCAGAGTTGGGATACCAGTGAGGCATTCAGGTAAGCCACAACATGTCATGTGTCATTCCGTCAATACTCCTGTTTTCACAGCAGGCACCCAATAGATGCAGTAGTATTACTAAAACCCCGGGTACTTAACCTGTAAAGAAATTAAATTTACAGTACCATAGACACTGAGAGAACCAGATTTTAGTGTTGTTAACACATTGGAAGGGAATGACGTCCAAAAGAAACCCTAAAATGAATGTTAATGAGAGAGGCCAAAGATGCTGGACTGGATCCTGTCCATGATATTGAAGGACACACAAATAGATCATCATGGTCCTACAAGAATAGTGCAGCGTGAAGTGGTCAGTGGATCTGGCCGCTGCTGAACACTCAGGGGAGGGGCAAGGTGGACTTAAAAAATTAGAGTATTACTGATACCATTAGAACCGAGAACTGGATTAGAACTCTGCGCTTGCTGTTGAAGATGGGGAGGGAGCATTGATGGGAATGTCACAAGTGCTATTGTGTTAGTTCTTAACTCATAGCTCATCCAAGGGTTCAAACATTATTATGAGTGGAAGAATAAACTGCGAGCCCTATATGACATGATTGCACAACAGGACATTGGTGATGAGGAAACGCAATGCACTGACTGGCACTTACAGATAAAGAAGACGGAAGTAGAGACAGACAGAGGCACTAGACCAGTGTTCTTCAACTCTTGGACTGGCAAAACAGGGAAATTTGTTTCGACGACCACCTGACAGCTAAAAAAAAAATAAATGTCGATAGTTTATTGATTAAATTTGATGTCACAAAATTAAAATATTCAGCTCTTGTGACATCTGCTGCTGGTTAGAGGTTAGAAAATCAACGCAGTAGTGTAGTGCCGAAATCATATAGCTGCTATGTGATTTTGCAGAAATGTTTGTTGGACCAGCATAACATTTATGTGGACCACCATGACATTTCCATGTGGACCACCATGACATTTATGTGGACCACCATGACATTTATGTGGACCACCATCACATTTATATGGACCACCATAACATTTCCATGGACCACCATGACATTTATATGGGCCACCATGACATTTATGTGGACCACCATCACATTTATGTGGACCACTATCACATTTCCATGTGGGCCACCATGACATTTATGTGGACCACCATCACATTTCCATGTGGGCCACCATGACATTTCCATGTGGGCCAGCATGACATTTCCATGGACCACCATGACATTTATGTGAACCACCATGACATTTATGTGAACCACCATGACATTTCTGTGGACCACCATGACATTTCCATGTGGGCCAGCATGACATTTCCATGGACCACCATGACATTTATGTGAACCACCATGACATTTATGTGAACCACCATGACATTTCTGTGGACCACCATAACATTTCCATGTGGGCCAGCATGACATTTCCATGGACCACCTTGACATTTCCATGTGGACCACCATGAAATTTCCATGTGGGCCAGCATGACATTTCCATAGACCACCTTGACATTTCCATGTGGGCCAGCATGACATTTCCATAGACCACCTTGACATTTCCATGTGGGCCAGCTTGACATTTCCATGGACCACCATGACATTTATGTGAACCACCATGACATTTCTGTGGACCACCATGACATTTCCATGTGGGCCAGCATGACATTTCCATGGACCACCATGACATTTATGTGAACCACCATGACATTTATGTGAACCACCATGACATTTCTGTGGACCACCATAACATTTCCATGTGGGCCAGCATGACATTTCCATGGACCACCTTGACATTTCCATGTGGACCACCATGAAATTTCCATGTGGGCCAGCATGACATTTCCATAGACCACCTTGACATTTCCATGTGGGCCAGCATGACATTTCCATAGACCACCTTGACATTTCCATGTGGGCCAGCATGACATTTTCATGGACCACCATGACATTTCCATAGACCATCTATTGAAGAACACTTTTAGACAACACCTGTCACCTCCAGTCGATGAAGGCACCTCACTGCAGCCGCAAGTGTGCTTGTGCTCATGACCAAGTAGAACACTGGTTTTAAGCCTTTTTTCAGATGTGCCCCCTTGAATATTTGGCAAGACGCCCATGCCCTCCCCGAACGCTCTCCATTTAGAAAATGTGATTACAAAAAGGGACAACAGAGAAAAATTCCAAGCACTGGAAACATAGATTTGGAGGAGAATATCCACATAATTCAAAGTGTCATATAACATAAAAGAAAATAATCACCAACAGCTGGTACTTGACTGTCCAGATATCAAAGTGATGGTTGACACTGTCTTGCCTTGGTGATGTCTGCTGTTTTTGTTCTGATGTTGGACAGGGAACAAACGGAGATCACTCTGCAATTCAGGCTGACAGAGCTGTTTTATTTGCATGACTGTTAACATTGTATTTATAATTATACTGAAACAAATGTTAGCATAATATCAGAATTGCTTTTTGCCCACACTGAGTATTTTGGCCGGCAGTCCCCGTGCTGGAGGGGGGGGGGGGGATGTGGGGGGGGGGGGGGGGGGTCGGTGTGTTATGTGAATAACTTTAAAATATAGGAAGAGGAAAAGAAACCGGTGGGCAGAATACTCTGTCGCTTTTTGTGGATGGTGTGGTTATTATCAGTAAAAGCTCCTGCTAAAATGTCCTAGTTTTCTTGTGTGTGAGTTGTTCAGTTTCAGTGGAATAACTTCTTTTAACTTCTTAGGAGGTTAGGTAGGGGTATCTGGAATTTGTCCCCAAAGGAATGAGAGTTTTTGACTGGATTGATAGGACAATGTGATGAGACTATCGATGCTAATATAATGTATCATATTGTCGTCTTCAGATCCCCAGTAGGATGTATTTATGTGTGGAATGATGAGGCAGTGTAATGAGACCATTAGTGCTAATGGTTTGCCCACTTAGAGAGAATGCCTTGTGACACCATACCATACAAAGCATACATGGAAAGAGAAGGAGGACGTAGAGCACGAGGTAGACCAAGAACAAGATGGAAGGATGACATCAGAGAAATTCTAGAACAGCACGGTGTGCCTATGGTCGAGGCGGCCAGAAGAGCTAGAAACAGAACCTTATTTCTCCCTCGACACCCACAGCGGTAAAAGAGGAAGTGAAGAAGAAGAAGAAGAAGTGCTAACATTATATATTATTGTTTGCTGTCTTTTTTTCTAAGGAGGGATGCAATTATCTGTGGAATGATGAGACAGTATATTAAGACCATCAGTACTAACATAATGTATTATTGCTACTATTTTAAGGTTATTAAAAGCCATCAGTACTAACGTAAGGTATTATTGCTGTATTCAAACATGAAGCGAAGAGACAGTCATTGCTAACATTATATACTTCTGTTGCTATCTCTAGGTCCTCAAAAGGATGTTTTCATGCACAAGGTCTGACAATTAAGTAATGAGTCTGATTTTATTATGGCCAAGACAAAAATGCCATCGATGAAGTAAAGCATGGAGTCTAAAGAGGCAACATTTATCTATGATCGGGCAACTTTTCATCACCGCTTGATAAGCAGACAACAAACAAGCCACCATTTTGTTGACCTAGTCAGAGGTGCACTTTTACGTAATCAGCACTGAGCAAAAAAGCTAACATTAAATTCTGTTTAAAACTCAGAAAAAGCGCCATTGAAACAGTTAAATTGATGCAACAAGTTTATGGGGATAATTGTTTATCTCGTTCACACATTTTCAGGTGGTATTCACAACTCAAAAGTGACATGGAAATGATTACTAATGCAGCAAGACCTGGATGCAAAATTTTTGTTCGTAATGATGAACTCATTGCAAAAGAGAGAATGGATACAAGAAGATCTTTGTTTCACTGTGACGATGATGGCAGATGAATCTGGTTTTAATAGAGAGACCATTCATAACATTTTAGTGCAAGATTTTAGCAAGAAAAAGTTGCTTGCTGGTCTGTAACACATTCGTTGTCTGATGACCAAAAACATCAGCGGGTTGAGTACCCAAGAGACATCATCAAAACAAGAATTTCTGGCCCAAAAACAAGTGTGTGTTCTCAGCCTTCCACCCTGTTCCCCAGATTTGTCTTCCTGTGATTATTTTCTATTCCTATAATTAAAGTTACGATTGAAAGGACGCTTCTTTAACGATATTGATGACACCCAAAGGGCCGTAACATTAACTTCAAGAGCCATAACAACAGAAGAACTACATAGGTCATTCCAGTGTTTGTTAGATCGTGCCTCTTGCTGTATCAATGCACAAGGGGCTTACTTTGAATCAGATACAGGTTGTGTCTTCAACTGTTGATTATTTTAATTTTTTTGGAATTAGTCTCATTACTTAATTGTCGGACTTGTATAGAGTGATGAGACAGTATAATGAGACTACCAGTACTAGCATAATATTTTATTGCTACTATCTTTAGGTCCTCAAAGGGATGTTTTTACGTATAGAGTGATGAGACAGTATAATGAGACTACCAGTACTAGCATAATATTTTATTGCTACTATCTTTAGGTCCTCAAAGGGATGTTTTTACGTATAGAGTTATGAGACAGTATAATGAGACTACCAGTACTAGCATAATGTTTTATTGCTACTATATTTAGGTCCTCAAAGGGATGTTTTTACGTATAGAGTTATGAGACATTATAATGAGACTGACTACCAGTACTAGCTTAATGATTTATTGCTACTATCTTTAGGTTCTTAAAGGGATGTATTTATAAGTGGAGTGAAGAGACAATCATTGCTAACACAAAGTATTCTTGTTGCTATCTGCAGGTTCCCAGCAGGCTGTGTTTGTGTGTGGAAATGAGGGAACACAGTTGATAAACCAGCAGGAAAGATTTGTATGATGATGAGGGAACACGGCAGAACATGTTTGTACAGTAAAAAAAAAAAAAAGCACACATCCAAGCAGTGGCTCACACCAGTCAGTGTTAGACAGCTGGTACCAACAGCTACGAGTGTAGAGGGTTTAAATCTTTAATGTTTCTATGATTAGACTCATGTGGC